AGTGGCCTCTGTAAGGGGCAGCCACAGGGGTCAGGTGTGTTGAGCTGATGTACATACCGAGGCCCCCGAGCTCCCCGGAGACGCTGTGGAAGGAGTAGAGTTTCTGGTAGCTAGTGCTAAAGGCCAGCTTTGGTTTGGCTTGTGGCAGAAAAAGGAGAGAGGTGACTAGAGGTAAGGCTGGCAGAAAAAGGGGCTTTCCACCTTTGACAGCACCTGGGCTACCTCTGAGTCCTTCATTCTGTCGGCTTCTCTCCACACTTGCTGGCTGAGGCTGCCAAAGCATTCTTAAGAGGGCTTGGGCTGTCGCCGTCTGGCCAGGGAGGCTGTGTAAATCACATTTGGTACATTGCTGCCACTGAATCCGTTTTTTGTGTTGGCTAGGTTTTGACGAACTTGTCTCTTGAGTTACAAGGAGCGGGTTTGGAAAACAGCCGGGGCATAGGTTGGGTAGCTGCTAAGCACACTGAAAATGAAGGACCAGCTGCAGACAGCTGAGATGTTAGCTGCAGAGAGCAACAGCCCTTTGGCTCCAGAACTGTAAAGTGTTCTGTCTTCAAGGCACAAATTTTGTCCCCATGATGCCTAGTTTCACCTTCTGTCCCTGGGACCTTCTGTCCCTGGGTTTCTGACTCAGAAGCCAACTATGAGCATCACATACACCAAATGTCCCCAGGTCAGCTCTTCTTGTCACGTGTCACCTGGACATAGTGACAGGATTCGGACATGGGCAGAATTGGAAAACTTGCTGTGGGAAGATCTTCTACTTTCCCTTTCCCTGGCTGCTCTAACAGTCTGCTCTCCCTGAGAGCTATCAAGGTGTTTTTGTTTGTATTTCCCCAGGGCTTCACGCTTTGTGGGGCATCCTTCCTAATTTTGCACAGGGTAGCTAGTTTCTCAGAAAATTCTCCTCCTGGCTTTATTTCATATTTCTTCACATTTTGCTTTTTTTTTTTTTCCTCTGTGAAGTCTTGGACTCACTTTGTAGACCAGGCTGGCCTGAAACTCACAGAGATCTGCCTGAGGCGTGCTCCACCACACCCGGCCATGCTTCCTTTTTATTACATTTAGTTATGTGTGTGTGGGAGGACATTGCGTGCGATGTGTATTGAATGGAGGTCAGAGGGCAACTTACAGGGGTCAGTTTTCTCCTGCCATGTGGGCCCAGAGGCTTGAACTCCGGTCATGAGGCTTGCTAGGAGACACCTTTACCTGCCAAGCCATCTGTAAGTTGATTTTATATTTTAACATGATTTTAGATGTTCATAATTTTCCTGTTCTACTTCTGGCCTTCCTAACCCAATCCTAATTTTCCTATTTAAAAAGTGACTGACTGGTTCTTTTCCAGTCTCTTTCTCTGTTTCTCTGTCTGTCTGTCTGTCTCTCTCTCTCTCAGGGATTTCCTTTGCTTTATTTTTTCTCTCTCCTGCTTTCTCTATTTGAAGTTTCCTCCTTCAGATACCTTCCTGACCTTCCACCAGCTTCCTTCAAGTTCCTCCTCGCACTGTGGGTAGGAAGCTCTTCTGAGGCCTTTGCGTGACTTTCTGTTCATTTGTTTATCAAGTGAGAGTCCTCAGACCTCCATAACAGAAACCAGCTGGCCTGTTACTGAGGGACAAGGTTAGGCTTGTTCCTTTTTTCAAACAGCACACTCATCAGTATCTAGAAGTCATTCAGTGATATCTTATGAGACTGCCTTTTACATTTATTTTGAAAGAGTTTATATAGGCTTTGGGCTGGGTCCTAAAGTCATTTACTGCACATATATAGACTATAAACTCTGGGCACTCCTTGATATAGTAATCCCTTTTTGCTAACTTTATTTGGCATGCAATTGGCAGAGAAGTGTCCTCTACAGTGGGCAGTGAAGAAGTAAGTCTGATCTCATGATTCAGGCCAGTGTGAGTAAGCCTTCTCAGTAACAAAGATACAAGGTTTATCTATCCCTAAAAATGACCAAAGATTACTCCGAGAGCCAGAGTGTGATTCACCCCTTATCTCCATAGCAACCTATTTGGCTGTCCACTTCCAGCTAGCACTTAGAGAGCACTTAGCACTTAGTTCTTATGACTCAACGTTTTACAGCTCCAAGTGTTTTCCTAAGAGACAGAAGACATTCCTGTTGCCCCATCCTGACCGATGCCCCAAGTTAATCAGCTCCAGATGACTCATTCAAACAAATTGGTTACCAGACTACCTGTGTAGAGGAGAGTTGATGGTGTCTGAATTCTTCTCCAGCCACCCAGTGACTTCCTTGTGTAAGCTTAGAGGGGGCACAGCAATGAATGCGTGAGCAGCAACATGGCCTGAAGAGCTTGTAAATCTACACGGGGGAATAAAGCAGGCCTGCTGGCCGAGTGCTGTGTGCACACTTCCCCGTGGTTTCAGGAAACTGGCTGAGATCATTTATTAATACACTCATGATTGATTATTTTTAGAGACTGCAGGAATTCTGGAGAGCCAGGTGACAGACATCTGGACTGTTCCATGGTTTACATAAGCCAGTGTCTACAGTGATTTTTTGGGGGGGTTTCGTTTTGTTTGTTTGTTTTTGAGACAGGGTCTTACTGTGTATCCTGGTGGCCTCAAATTCCTATACAGATCAAGCTGGCCTTGAACTGCCTGCCTCTAAATCCTAAGTGCTGAGCTTAAAGGTACGAGCCACCATACCTATCTACAATGATTAAAAAAGAATATCTTCACTTATTTCTACAATTTTATTTGTCAGTTTTAGCATTTTAAAATACATTTATTTTTTGCATGCATGCATGTGAGCACGTGTGTGCAGGTTAGAGGACAACATCCAAGAGCTGGTTCTCTCCCTTGTTACACGGGTCAAACATGCTGCCAGGCTTTGTAGCAAGCACGCTTACCTACAGTGATTCTTTTGACTAGTGGTTTTTGTTTTGTTTTTACAGATAAATTATGGAAGTTAGTGTTTGTGGGTTCTGCTCCTCCTGGGGAAGGAGCTTAGAAAAGCAATTTTTTTTTTTTTCTGAGTCTGAGATCATTTGGTTTTCTCTACAAAAAGAATCCCATCCTGGTAGCACACACTTGAAATTCCAGCACTCTGGGAGGCAGAGGCAGGCGGATCTCTGCTCTTGGTCTTCCAAGTGAGTCCAGGACAGGTACACAGAGTAACCTTGTATAGAAGGTTGTATAGAAGTATATACAACCTTGTATAGATGTAGTCTAGCCAAGGCTACACAAAGAAACCTTGTATAGAAAAAACAACCAATCAACCAACTAAACAATCAAACAGAAGAATCAGCGACCAGGTGGCTTGTCTGTAGTCTGGGATCCAACACCAAGGCAGAGTCTGTTACAGAGTGACTTCCCACCTTGCCCCACCAGGCACTATGAAGGCCCTGCCTTGATTTTTTTTAATTTTTATTTTAAGGTGTTGGGAGGGTCTCCCTATGTAGTTCAGGCCTTGAACTCCCAATCCTCCTGAATACTGAAATTATAGGCATGTACCACCATATTCAGTTCTTTTATCTTGGTTATTTGTTGTTGATTTGTTATAGGGTCTCACTATGTAGTCTAGGCTGGTTTTAACAGACCATGTTTGAGAAATGGGTTTACTTTATTTTTTTTCTATCCAAGAGACTGAAGTGGGGTGTAGAAGAAGCCAGAAAGAAGCCTTCCCACCCCCTTCCCTTCCTTTTTCTTCCCTTTCTTCCTCCTGGCTTCTTCTACATCCCACTTCAGTCTCTTGGAGACCAAGAATCTTCCTTAATCTGCCCCCAAATGTCAATGACTTGTGGTGAAGTCCTCTAGTTCCCAGTGGCCTGTATCAGATCACACATACACACTTCTGACTGTCATATAAAATCCGCTTGCTTTTCTATCACTTTTGCTTCTCTCACCCCATGGTAGGGGGTACCTTGGCCGTTTGAGCCCAAATGAACCTTTCTTTCTACCCATGGAACAGTCACTCCATTTTGGTGGATTTGTTCTGCCCTTGCTTGCAAATCCCATTTTAGACATGAGAAAATGTAGGTGTAGAGAATTAACTATTACCATGATCACGGTGAAAGTGTGTTAGAGTGCAAGAGTTTATAACACGGTCCCTCTGTCTTCGTCCTCTAACTAAACCCCAAAAGCTTTCAGACAGCTCAAAAGAAGACAAGCTCTTGAAGAATCTGAGTCAGACAGGAAGCTCTGGTCCTGGGCTGTGTTAGGTCTGAAAGGTCAACTTGTTCTTCCACTGTTCAGAGAGAATTTAATCTGTGGTCAATTGCTCTTTCCAGTTCTGAATGGCTGATCACAGCGTTTCCTAACGTGAACCTTCTTACAAGGGTGGCTGTTCCTTGTAACAGCTTTTCAAACAGAGCTTCACCCTGATTTAGCTGTTCCTTGCTGAGCAGCACTCCCCTCCAACCTTTGAGGAAAAAAAAATTTCCTAGGAAACAATTCACTCCCTCATTCATTCATCCACTCTCATTCATTCATTCTTTAATCAACAAATACCCACTGGGAACATACTATGTACCTCAGTCTGAGAGGATGAAAACACCAAAACTTGGGGTATTCAGACCCAGCAAAATCCAGAGCAGGAATGAATGCAAACGGGGGAGGGGAATGCCTCTTACATCTCAGAAGTGTCAGGGACACCTGCTCCTCCTTCCCCTCACTGAGCACTTCTGGGGAATGCTTCGCGTGAAGGAAATGGAGACAGGATAAGATCATGAAAGGCAGCTTCAGACTCGGGAGTCGGGTGAGCCTGGGATTGTGTGGGAGCGGACCGTCAGGGTCCACTGCCGGGCACAGATGAGGGGCACGGGCTGGCGGGCGTGTCCCTGTCCCTTGGGGAAGCTCCGGGGTCCGCAGGGCGCGGCCCAGCCAGGCGCCTGCAGGGCGAGGGATGCTGCCCGCCCCGAGAGGGCTGGCCCGGCACAAGCGTATTAGAAGCGCCGAGCCACGGCCCTGTTCCTACAGCTAGGAAGGGCGGCCTGAGCACAGTGACCAGGTGAGCGGCGCGGGGCGAGGGGACGGGTGCTGCCCAGAGCACCAAGAAAGGGCGCCGCTGGCGGGATAGCGGGCGGACCTGGCTCTGCAGCCCGGAAGGCGATCTTCAGGGTCCCAGGAGCCCTTCCACAGCCCTAGCTCTCCTTCGGGCAACATTCGGAGAAAGTTAGTCACGACTAAGTATCCTGGGGGTGGCGGGGTGCCGACGGGCCCTGAGCACGCCTCGGAAGCCCTGGCCACCGAGATCCACCTTGCAGCTGGCTCCAAGCGGTTGGTTACCCCTAGCACGGCCATGGGAACCAGGTCCCCCTCTCGGCACCTTGGGGGGCTGCCTGGAGTCTCCCTAGGAAATCTCCTGGGCTCCTGGCGTGGCCAGCAGGCTCCTTTGGTGCACCTGCTGAGCCTTCAGCTAGAGACCTTGCTGTGAGCTCTACCGGGCTACAGCCATTCCCTGCACGCTGACCACACAGAAAACAGACTATGTTTGAGAAATACCCAGGCCCTAGGGCGTATGTGGCTGGACTGTAACCTCTAAATTTTTTGCAAGCCAGGTGACTCATCTCTGCCCGGTGTGGAGATTTGTGCAATAACCTCTAAACCTAGGAAGCCTGCAGTGTGGTGGTGTTTGTGTCGGAGTGCCAGCCTCAGCTGGACGCTTTTAAAAGTTGGATTTAGGTTAGATCCATGAATGGTCCTTGGTTGGAGTATCAGTCTCAGAAAAGACCACTGTGCCCAGATATTTTGGTTCTGTTGCTCTTCTTGTGGCGCTCCTGTCCTCTCCAGGTCTTACTATCCCCCCCTTCTTTTATAAGATTCCCTGCATGCTGCTCAAAGTTTGTTTATGAGTCTCATTATCTGCTTTTATACAATGCTGGGTAGAGTCTTTCAGAGGCCCTCCGTGGTAGACTCCTGTCCTGTTTCCTGTTTTCTCAGATGTAGCCCATGGCAGCTCAGTATCCAAATGGGTACCCTAGTAAGGGAAACAGGGATGGTCTCTTACCTGAACTCAGTGGCTAGCATTTTGAGTGCCTCCCCTAGATGGGGGAACAGCCTTGCCAAGCCACAGAGGAGGACAATGTAGCCATTTCGGGTGAGACCAGATGAGCTAGGGTAAGATGGAAGGGGAGGAGGACCTCCCCTATCTGTGGACTTGGAGAGGGTTATATGGATGGCCTCATACTCAGTACATAGTCCAGGCTGGGCTTGAACCCATGGCCTTGAAACCTATGGTTTCAAGCATAGTTTCCTACATGCTGGGATACTTGTCTTTGATGGGGACTAGCTTCCTAAATTCAAAATGTTTAGGAGTTCGGTTTAAAACCTGTACTTAGTCCGTATTCTGGAGGGATTCTTTGATGGGCCTTTCAGGCATACACTTCAAAATGTTTAAGGGAAGGCTCACTAAACTGTGTGCAAAACAGAACTCCTCTATGGGTTGCCTGGATAAACTGATAGTGTTTATGTAGAATGACGGAGTCTATTCAGGGGTTTATGATCAATGAGATATTTTACTGTGTCAAAGACATGCACAAGGCCTTTATTTATTTCATTATCATTTTTCAAGATGGGGTCTTACAGGTAGCACTGGCTGAAACTCCATACATAGATCAGGCAGGCCTGGATTTATGACACCTGCCTGCCTCTGCCTCCTAAGAACTTTTCCTTGGGTGGGTGTGAGAGTTACATGCCTGTAATTCCACCATTCGGGAGGCAGAACCCAGAGAATCTCAAGTTCAAAGCCAGCATAGGCTACATTTAGAATTCCAAACCAGCCTGGGCCATACAGTAAGACCTGTTTTGAAATAACAAATAAACTTACTTCTTGCCTGTGAGCTCAAGTGGCCTAGACTGGACCTATTTGCTGAGTACCCTTAGTAGCCAGAGCCTACATCTTCACTGCAAGACACCTATGTCCAGTTTGCTGCTGACACTCGTTCTTCCTTGACTGACACTCAGCTTTTCCAAAGAGAGAAAAATCAGTAACCGAGAAAGAAGCACAAAGTAATTTCATCTTCCTCAATGTGAGCCCTAGGAGCGTCCTCTCAACCACTGTGGCTTTGGGAAGTGGCCTTCCCACAAAGGAAACGGGATGGTGTCGCCTTGCCTAGGTTCCTGTGGAGCAGCAGGGGGAAGGCCCAGGGTCACTACCTGCTGTTTTACAGTTTTGTTCTTTGTGAACAGAAGTCCCTGAATAGTAGAAGAGTCAGTGGGAACCCAGACAATTGAGTGATTGGCAGGTGGGCCCAGCAGAGCATGGTGCACTTGGTAATCCTATTACAGGAAAAGCTACCAATAAACAGCCGATTACATCAACTTATACTTAAATTCCTTACCCAGAGCTGCACTGATCTGCTTCTGCCTGCTGCTTCCAAATGTGGTCTTTCCAAAAGAGACCCAAGCCCTACACTCTGCTTTAAAAAAATATCTTTCGTGAATTTTTCTTTTTTTTTCTTGTGGTTCTTCAATTTTTTTTTTCTGGTTCTAGAAGTGATAGAATGGAGTTTATACATTTATGCTATCTGTAGAGAGAAAAGAATTTCTTAATTTGATAGTTTGAAAAGAGCATGTTAAAACCCTTTTCAGAACATAGATCTGAGCCAGGTGGTAGTGTTGCATGCTTTAGTCCCAGCACTTGGGAGGCAGAGGCAGGCAGATCTCTGAGTTCAAGACCAGGCTGGTCTCCAAAGTGAGTTCCAGGCCAGCCCAGGCTACGCAGAGAGACCTTGTCTCTAAAAGCCAAACCAAACAAATAGATCTGGAGCCAGTAAGATAGTTCAATGAGTTATGACACTTGTCACCAGGCCTGCTTGAGTTTACGTCCTGGGGCCTGCATGGTGGAAGGCGAGAACCAACTCCTAAAATTTGTCTTTTGACCCCCTCACACATATACCGCTACAGATACAAAATAAATAAGTACTTGAAAAAAGCTCTATCTGGGGGCTAGGGAGATGGCCCAGTTCTGCACAGCCAGGAAAACCCGAGTGCAGGTCTCCACTTTTACAAAGCTGAGAAGGGCCACAGGGGCCTATCTATAATCCTGGACTGTAGATGTGGAAACAGGCGGGTTCTATGGACTCACTCACCAGCCATTCTAGACAACTGGTACACCTCAGATTCAAATAGAAATGGCCTCAAAAACTAAGGCGGAGAGTGATTTCAGAGGATATCTGGGATTCACCTCTGGCCTCCCCTACACAGGCATTTGTACTTTCACAGACAGGTATGTAAGCACACATAACACACACACACACACACACACACACACACACACACACACACCTCAGTTTAAAAAAAAAAGATCTATGGTTGAGAGGTGACACAAATAAAACAAATACTGGTTTTGGAAAAACACAATTTATTGGTTAAAATGTGGTTTTTCTTAGCAATATGATTGTACACAATGGCATTCTGTATTCAGTCTCCTGGGTGTGGAATGATTCACCATGTAATGACCAAAGCTCAATCTTATTTTAAAATTTGTTTACTATTTCACTATGCTATGTAGTTCTGGGTGAACAAGCCAAAGAGTTTCTCAGTGAGGTTACTAACAATTTCAGAGAATTCGATCGTAAAACTTCAAAAATGCATGGTTTTCAGCTAGTATAGAACAAACTTGCATTGGGAGTCAGGAAACTTGGGCCCTTATCCCCAAACTGTCAATGAGATGGCTTTGGGACACCGAACTAGCTCTCTGGGCTCCCCCGGAGGGAACCCAGTAGGGAAACTCAGAGAACTCAGTCTCATCAGCTTGCTAACAAAGTAAAAACAGGTCTGTGAGAGTTCTCTGGGAACTGCAAATCACCATACAAATGCAGGGAGGGCATCAGCATCCTAACAGCCCATGGAATGTGTCACAGTGCCATGTCAAAACCACCATCCAAGGCCCACGTGAGTCATAGTGAAATCTGCTGTCTCTACGATTTCATCTGGTCAGACTAGAAAACGAAGCAAACCAGCCCCAATCAAAGGCTTTTCAAAGAACAAAGAAAAATGTGGAAGTGCCCCTTACAGTTTCTAGTTGTGCCACTCTTCACACATAATTTGAGTGGTGTCTATCAACAGAGAACTTTCTGAGGAAAATGTCGAAGTTAGGTTGTTTTTTTCACTCACATGAAATTTTCACCTGAAACATTATCTAACAGATTTCACCTTCAGACTTAAAGAGTTTAGCATGAGCCTTCAAGCCTCTTAAAACTGTCACACGCTTAAGAGAAAAATAAAAACTATTTTCTTTCGGGGGAAGTGTTTCCTTTTTTTTTGGTTTTTGGAGACGGCCCTGCTATGTGGCCTAGGTTATCCTTAAGCTCAAACTCCTGCCTCAGCCTTTTGGGTGCTAGGATTACAGGTGTGCAGCGTCACGGCCAGCAGCGGATGCTCCTGTTTTTGAAACGGGGTCTGCCTGCGACGCTTGGGCGGCCTTTACAGTTGGGGCCCTCTTGCCTCAGCTTCCCCAAGGCGGAGGTTGCAGGTGCCACTTGGCTGGCTTTAAAAACAGACCCTCCTGGTTGGTTTTCATTGCCCTGTGCATGTACATTTATGTAGCGATAAAGGCAAGCAGCCTCCATTGGTGGTTTGAGGCTGGCCTCAAACCCACGGCAGTCCTCATGCTACGGAACGCTGCTGAGATTACAGGCACGAGCCACCGCACTCACCTAAGAATGTTATTTCTTGGGACAATTGAGTAAACCCGCCACAGCTGGGCAAGCGAAGTCAGAAGAGATTCTCATTTTTTTTTCAAGGTCCAGGTAATTCTCCTGGTAGCAAAATGCTGTGATCTGAGCTCAGATGGAGCTCAGCCCTGTCAAAGCTGCCCTCTGCTGGCTGCTTGGGCTGCTTAGTGCTAGATGTTTGCCTAGGCTGACAATTTAATCCCCAGCACCGCAAGGGGTCGGGGGAGACACTAAAAGTTTCCAAACCAACCTGCCCTCTGCTGCATTCTAAGGGAGCTGGTGAAACTGGGACAGGTTCCAGGCGTCTTGTGCTTCAGTGGCCTGAGCAGGAGGAAGCAGGGTGTGTCTGCAAACCAGCCCCGTGGTGGCTTTGTGCAAGCAAACCTGTTTGGCTGTATCTTGGCCCCCAAATGCTTCTGTTCACATTGCCACCTGACTCACCCTTGTGCTGCTTTACTGCTAACTGCTTTATTTATACAAGTACCCTTTAAAAAGCCAGGCACAGTAGCCCACACCACAACCGGCAATTGAGAGGCTGAGGCAGGAGGATCATAAGTTCAAGGGCAGGGTGGGCTACACAGAAAGACTTTTCTAAAATATAAAGCAAAACGTCCCCAAATCCAACCAACCAAACACTCCCAAACATCACCTGTCCACCAGGGCCCAGGTCCAACACCATCTCCCTTCCCAGCTCATAAAGAAGCTCTCAGATTTGCATGTCCCAGCAGAGCCTGGCAGCATTGGTCACACCCTGTGTGCATGTCCCCCTGCTGGGCTGTGGGTCCTGTGATTATATGGAAAGTGGTGGCTCAGAGCAGGCATCAGTGTGTGCCAATAGAGGTCAAATAACCAGGCAGCATGTCAGCTGTTTTTGAGAGCTCAGTAGGAAGCAACACACAGCTTTCCCCACAGTGTCCCAGGAGGGCGGTGGCTGGGAAGAGAGGAAGGCTGTAGTGTCCATGAATCCTTCCAAGAGTAGAGAAACCCAGGGAGGAAGGCAGCCGAGCGAAGCTGCATCTTGTACCATCTTTCACCTAGAGAAGAGGCAGGAAATTCTCACCCTGCTCCTTGCCCCTCAAGGGCTTTCACTCTCAGGCTTCAGAACACAAGCTCCTGACATCAAGGTCTGACTTCACAACCCAAGTAGGTTTGGAATTTAGCTAGAATGTATCCCCCGCTCCTGCACAAGACGTTTTCAAGGGTCCTGCACCATTGACTTTGGCAAAATGACTGTAGACTAACTGGAATTGCCCATGACCTAGTTGGGTTGCTAAATCTCATGAAGGTTTGCAAAGTCTTTCAGGCTCAAATAATAATAACCCCCTCTGGCTTCTCTCGTAGGAAAATGGCACACAGCTTTTCGGTAAGCATTTCATGTCTGTTTTTCTAGCCCCCCCCCCCCCCCCCCCCAACACACACACACTCACCGCCAGGCTTTCCCTTTGGCCCTTCTACCGTGAAATTCCCCCAGCTCACTTGTACCCTCAGCACCAGTTAGCTGGAGGCTGGCTTTTCCCTCGGCAGAGTCCAGGGAGAGCCTCGGCAACACTGACTGCTCATGCGCACACCAGCAGCTGCTCAGGCTGATTAGAAAGCGCGTGTTTAGAAACACCAGTGCCTGGGGGAAGTTAGAAGAGCTTAGCTCTCCCTGATCCTCCACAATGAGGCCAGAATAAAATCAAATAAAAAGACAGCAGAGGAGGAGAGAGCCCTGAGAGCCCCACCGCCACTGCGGGCCTAGTCACCAGCACACCCCGGGAGGAGCCGTCACCACCACCGCAACCACGAGCAGCAGGCCGAGACCCAGGCCCTCAGCGCCGCCCACACCAAGGCGGCTCCAGGGGCTGCTGGGTAGCAGGGGCAGGGGCCTCACTTCGCGGGCCTGCCAGCCGGGAAAAGAAAGTCATCGCAACTAAGTTTTTGGGAATAGTAAAATGGTTCAATGTAAGGAACCGATACGGTTTCATCAACAGGAATGAATGACACCAAGGAAGACATATTTGTACAGCAGACTGCCATAAAGAAGAATGAGTACCTTCGCAGTGTAGGAGATGGAGACTGTGGAGTCTCACGCTGTTGGAAGAGAAAAGGGCGCAGAGGCAGCGAATGTTACACGCCCTGGTGGAGTTCCAGGTTACGGCAGTAAATACACAGCAGACCATAACCGTTATAGACGCTACCCATGTCGTAGGGGTCCACACAATTACCAGCAAAACTACCAGGATGGTGAGTGGGGAAAAGAACGAGGGATCATAAAGCGCTCCTGAAGGCCAGGCCCAACAGCGGCGGCCCTATGGCAGGCGAAAGTTCCCACCTACATGCGGAGACCCTATGGGCATCGACCACAGTATTCCAACCCTCCTGTGCAAGCAGAAGTGATGGAGGGTGCTGACAGCCAGGGTGCAGGAGAGCAAGGCAGACCAGTGAGACAGAATATGTGTCCGGGTTACAGACCACAATTCAGCAGAGGCTCTTCTCGCCAAAGACAGCCAAAGATGGCAGTGAAGAGGACAAGGAAAATCAAGGAGATGAGACCCAAGGTCAGCAGCCACCTCAAAGACAGTATCCCTCCAACTTCAATTACTAACGAAGACTCCAAGAGAACCCTAAACCACAAGATGGCAAAAAGACAAAAGCAGCGGATCCACCAGCTGAGCAGGGCTGGGCTGAGTAAATGCCGGCTAACATCATCCGGTCTGGTCATCCAACAAGAAGAAACGAATATGAAATTCCAGCAAAAAGAAATGAACAAAGACTGGAGCTGAAGACTAAGAGCTTGCTTTTGGCCCGTTGACCAAATATACTAGAACAGTTTGCATTATCTATGCAGCGTGGGGTTTTTATTATTTTTACCTAAAGATGTCTCTTTTTGGTAATGACAAACATGTTTTTTAAGAAAAAAAAAAAAAAAAAAAAGAAAAGCCTGTTTTTTCTCAATACACCTTTAATGGTTTTTAAATTGTTTCACATCTGGTCAAGCTGAGATTTTTAAGAACTTCATTTTTAATTTGTAATAAGTTTACAACCTGATTTTAAAAAAAGTCAACAAACTGCAAGCACCTGTTAATAAAGGTCTTAAAAAACAAAACAGCAGAGGATCAAACCGAAAGTCTTAAGTCCTTGGAACTCAAGAGAGTAGAACAGGCAAGAGAAAGGTATGGCTCTTTTCTAGTTCTCTGCTTCTTAGATCAAAATGCCTGTAGTCCCTGAACTCTATTTGGTGAATGAGTCCCAGCCTCTAATTGTCTGTCTTTCTTTACAGCTTAATGATGCCTTAGCTGGCCCTGGAAACCCAAACCCTCAGGGATGGCCTGCATGGGGGAACCAGCCTGGGGCTGGGGGCTACCCAGGGGCTTCCTATCCTGGGGCCTACCCGGGACAGGCTCCTCCTAGTGCTTACCCTGGCCCAATGGCCCCTGGGGTTTACCCCAGACCTCCTGCACCAGGAGCCTTCCCAGGGCAACCTGGGGGACCCGGGGCCTACCCCAGTACTCCTGGGGCCTATCCTGCTGCTGGCCCTTATGGTGCCCCTGCTGGACCACTGGTAAGAAGGAAGAACTGTTTCACTGTCTTGATATACAAGAGGAGAGGACATTAGGGGAAATTATGCTTTAAGCCTGCTGCTCTGAGGCATGTCTCAAAGACCAACCACAGAGGAGTATTGGTCAAGTGGAAAAAGGAATGTGTTCACGTTAAGTTTACTCTGTCACTTGTTAAGATATGGCACTGATAAAGGTGCTTTTAATAAACATCAAGTTAAGATTGGAGGAATGAAGCCAGGCCTGGTGGAGCACACCTCTAATCCCCAGCACTTAGGAGGCGGAGGCACAGTTGTACTGTTGCTAAACACTAGTTGAATGAGGTGGCTCATACTTCTAACCCCCCAAAATACTGAATGCTTTGCAAGGCAGCAAAGCTTTAGCTCAAACCAGGGCTGCAGGAAAGGAAACTGATGGGCAAGGGGCAGGGAGACACCTCCAGAGCAGCTGTGCAAGGAGCCTTCCAGTTCACCCATCCACGGGGAGCAGCTCCAGGAAGCACACACGAGACTAGTGCAGATCAGGGCTAGACACAAAAGCCAAAGCTAGGAGGGACCGTCATGAAGGAGAGACCAGGGGCAGGGACAGAGCGCTGGTGTCCACCACATCTTAACCACGTTGCTCAACACTTGTGGCCTGAATTACAGAAATGCTCATTCAACATATGCTCATGTGCAAAGCATTCTGCTGGCAACCTGTGAGCACAGAAGCCCCGGGTGACACAGACCTTTCCAAATGGAGAATTACAATATTGTATGTCATGTGTCAAGGGGCCTATGAAAAAAGGCCGTTGGTTAAAAGTCTAGCTTAAAATGTTAACAAAAGGATCTATATGGGTTAAAACAGGCCTGGTGATAGTCCAAGAACATCTGCTCTTTATTTGTTAACGTCCCAATTAACATTTGTGCACACAGGGAACGCTGCTTTTTATCTTTTCTACCCTGGGATCTCCAGAGGCTTCAGAATCTAGAGGGTTCCATGTTAGCATGGATTCTAACGTTTGCTATGCTTTACTTTCCCTGAGAAAACAGCTGCTTTATTGACACACCCATCCTTGTCTACTCCCAGCCAGTGCCTTATGATCTGCCCTTGCCTGGAGGAGTCAGGCCCCGCATGATGATCACAATCCTGGGCACAGTGAAGCCCAGTGCCAACAGGTACGAAGGGCATGGGCCACCACATGGATTCCCCCAGCTAGTGCTTGATGCCATGCGATTGTTCTGTCACAGCGAATGACAATATCCTCTACTCTGTATTTTGGTGTGTGTCATATGCTTTGATTCTCATGAGTGAGTGCAGGGCAAGGGCCATTGCTTCCCCTTTTGACAGACAGAACTGAAGCTCAGGTCTTACAGTTAGTGAATGGCAAGCTGGGAAGCCCAGCCTTTGGTGTGGCTGTCATTTACTTAAAGGGTTTGAGAAGATTCTATCATGTTTTAGTCAGTGTTCCATTGCTGTAGAGAGACACCATGATGGCGACTCTCATAAAGGAAAACATGTAATTCGGGCTGGCTTACAGTTTCAGGTTTAGTCCATTATCATCATGGTGGAAAGCATGGCAGCGTGCAGGCAGACGTGGTGCTGGAAGAGCCAGGTCTACATCTTGATCCATAGGCAACAGAAGGAGACTGTGTTCTACACTGGGTGTAGCTTGAGCATAGGAGACCTCAAAGCCTGCCTCCACAATGACACACTTCCTCCAGCAAGGCCACACCTCCTATCAGTACCCTGTGGGCCAAGCATTCAAACACATGAGGCTATGGGGGCCATACCTATTTAAATCACCACAAGACTGTTAAAGGTTTCATCAAAACAAATCAACTTTTGCCACTGGAACTGGTTTGATGGAGATGGACCAGGTTGGGATGAGGTAATTTAGGATATCCAATTTCTAGTCATAAAGAGAGGCCTGAGCCCAACCATCACTTCTAGTCATACTTACATAATATGAAGCCAAACACCCAGAGCAAGCTACTCAATCTGTCCCTGAGATTAGTGGTGCCATCAACACTCCTGTAACCACTAGTGCGTCTGTCTCTAAGTCTTAGGGACAAGGGGTACCCAGTCAAGCCATCCGTACAGGTTTATTCAATACTTTTTAAGTGGGGGATTGGGATGTGGTGGTGCACACACCAGCCTAGCTTGCAGGAGACAGAAACAGGGATTCTAAGTTCAAGATCAGCCTGGCATATAGAGAGAGATACATATAAAGACTCTGTCTCAAAAACCCAGAATGTACCAGTTTGTACCTGGTAAAAGAACGGGAGCCATATCCTGTCACTAGACAGACATAGCTTTGATAGGCTGATACTCACTCCTCCAGCTAACCTTCTCTGGTTCTGCGTGGGAAGTGCTGTTCCAAGCAGGAAGTGCTGTTCCAAGCTACCCTCCTTTCCATGCGGCCTAGAGAGATGCTCAAAGCCCCATCACATGACAAAACTTGTCTCACAGTAAATACTCTCTTATATGCATGTATAAGTTATATACACTTATTATTTTCAAAATAGGCATTTATACAGTCTGTCTCAACATAATGCAGAGCTACACAGTAACGTTAATAATTAAGGTTAGTGCTAGATAATTTAGTTCCAGAAACACTTGTGATGCAGCCTGACTACTGACAGCTCAAAACTGATCCTCAGTAGTAAACAGAAAAAAAAATTGTTGTGTGGCCCCACAAACACTCTAATAAATTCATGGGAAAAAGGTAACTGTGTGACAGAGATGGCAACCTCGGTCTGCAGAAGGACACAAACACTGTAGTCTGCCAGCTTCCTAAGTTATTCAGAAGCTCCAGAGACTCAGGCCAGATCCCACATGTCAGCTTCTAGTGTTACTGTAGGGAACACACATTCAGAAACCCAGGAGCTGGGCCAGGCCCACCTCATAGCATGACTGTCCTGACTTTACAACAAAGCAACAGGGAAGAAACATTAGCTACATCTGTGCATCCCTGCTCTTCTGAGCTTTCTGGTTAACCACGGGAAGGTCGGGTACTTGATGGCTCTTAAGTTGCTGGCTTCCTTTTTAGGTATTAAGAGTAATGTATCAGGGCAGGAAAGAGCCACTCTTCCTTATAGCAAGTACAAAATCATCTGAGGATAAGTCTAAAGCTACAAGGGTATCTAGAAGGGGTTGCAATACACAAGAGTGTGTCTGTGAAGAGAGGAGAGCACTACAGTCAGGAAGGATGGTGCCAAGGTCGACGAATCACCACCACAACCTCATAAACAAATGAAAACCAAGACAGCTGGTGACCACACACTTGGAATCCCGGCCAACGTGGGAGAGAATCACAAGTTGGAGGCCAGCCTAGGCTACATAGTGAGATCCTGTCTCAGTGAACAGACAACACAGACTGTCCCGCTGCACTTGGAGTTAAGCACAGTAACGAGAGGTTCGTCCTGCTCTATTCAGTGGGAACCGACGCGCTGGCTTATTAGCTTCCTGGACAGAAAACCACTTCTATATATTCTGAGAGGATGTTCTTGACTTGGTACACCCTTTAATCTCTGATTTCTGGCTTAAAACAGGTTTGCTCTAGATTTCAAGAGAGGGAATGACGTTGCCTTCCACTTTAACCCCCGCTTCAATGAAAACAACCGAAGAGTCATCGTGTGCAACACCAAGCAGAACAACAACTGGGGAAGGGAAGAGAGACAGTCAGCTTTCCCGTTTGAAAGCGGCAAGCCCTTCAAAGTAAGTTCTGCTGCTGCTGCATGCTCCCGGTGTTCTCTCAGGAAGGGCCCCGGCCAGTCTTCCCCCACGCCCAGCATCCAGGCTTAGCAGGCTGGGAAGACAGGCAGGAGCCACCTCACCATTGCCACTCCAAACTCTAACAGGGTGTCACTTTTATATATCACAAAGCTGCCACTTACAGAAGGATTTAAGGGCGAATGTCCCCTAACTGTGGGGAAAAGTATTTCCTGGCCTTTCCAAAACTTGCTATAAATCAACCAGTCCTATAAATCAATATTTGTCATTAAGGAGTTCTTATGTTGCTGTTTTAGGCCTACTAAAACTTTGGTTTTTTTCTAAAAAACAAAACAAAAACGGGGTTTCCTTGGGTAGCCCTGCCTCTCCCTCTGACAGCTGGATTAAAGGCATGCACCACCACAGCTGGGCTAAAACTAAATTTTTATGTAGGCAAACTAGGCTTTTATGTTTCCATTATCTATCCTGATAACTTTTCTTGGTTTTCGAGATAGGATTTCTCTGTGTAGTGCAGGCTGGCCTCGAACTCAGTGATCCCCCTTGCCTCTGTCTCCCTGAGTGATGGAAGTAAAGGGGCGTGCCACCACGCCCGGCTCCTTCTGATAATTTTGATGTTTTTTTTTGTTGTTGTTGTAGTTTAAATCTGGCAATCTATATTCATTTTTGCTATTCAGTTACTGTCTCTGGATCTTTATCATCCCACAAATAAAATGCTGGACTTCACGAACTCAGGCCACACTGGTTTAAAAGCAATATGTATTTGTCTTTACACTGAAATTGACAAATAAAAATTACACACAGACCATATGTCCTGGAAAACACATATGGTGGAATGCTTAACTTGAACTACTTAACACATGCTTTTCCTGACCGTTTCTAGATACAAGTCCTGGTTGAAGCTGACCACTTCAAGGTCGCAGTCAACGATGCCCACCTGCTGCAGTACAACCATCGGATGAAAAACCTCTGGGAAATCAGCCAGCTGGGGATCTCTGGTGACATAACCCTCACCAGCGCGTCACACACCATGATCTAATCCAGAAGGGCCAACCCCTGAAACTGGCTCTGAGCTCATCACAAATGAAAGAATTTACATTTATTCCTCCTCATCCTTCCATTTAGTAAATATTCTCATGCTGAGATGCCTGCTTTTTTCTTTATTTTTTCTGATACTAGGTATCAGATCTTAGGAACTTTGGAATGCTAGGCAAGTGTTCTATCACTGAGCTCCACATGCCCAGCCCTTTACTTTGTGCGTGTGTATTTGTGTCTGTGCAGCTGCTTCTTGGAGCTGGAGTTATGGGTGGTAGTAAGCCGCCTGTCTATGATGCTGGAAACCAGACTCAGGTCCTCTGCAAGAGTAGTTCCTACTCTTAACTGCTGTGCCCTTGCTCCTGCCCTTTTTGACTTCTGAGAGGGGATGGTGTGGAGTTGCCCACTCAGGCCTTGGATTTGCGGTCAGGCCCATCGATGCCTGCTTCCTTTGCCTGTCTTTCTATGCTTTTTGGAGCAGTGTAAGTAAAGAAAAGCATGTAATGTTAACAAACCATCCCGAAATACACTGAGAAGAGTGGAGACAGTTCCCCAGCAGACGCTCATCGCTGGCCACTGGGATGCCAGTTACTGAGCACTCCCTGTTGGTGGTTCCAGGTGAAACCAGACGGTGCACTTATGCATCCTAGGTTCAGGCCAATTGAGCCACAGGAGATGGGGGCTGCTGCCGGCACTGAGTCTGCACGCTGCCTTCCACACGGTGACATGCAATGTAGGCTTTGTTCTACACAACAGCGAGCAGCTGCTCACCCCAGCACCACTGCGATCAACCTCGGACGCGGTTTAAAGGGCAATCATGGACGCAGTCCTGAAATCTGGCGTGTAGGCTGTTTTAAACCGTTTTTCTTTTAAAGCCACAGGTAACTGCCTTCAAATCAGTATTCAATGCCAATGCGACTTTGTGTCTTGGTTTTTATGTACACATTTTCATACCTAACCCTTTCTAACTTTCCTATCATCAGCAAGCTCACAGATTAGGAAAATGTCAGAATTCTCCTTGTTCTACAATATTATCTCCTCTAATACTTTAAACTGGTGAACGCCACAAGCTAGCGTCTCAGGAAAAACAGAAATCAAGAGGTGTGCAAAAGCAAGCGCTTTCAATCAACAGCTGAACATGCAGAGAGCTGGGTACCTCCTTCCCCCATGAAGATTCCAGGTATCAGCCTCACGTCAGCAGGCTTGGTTCCCTACCCATCAAGCAACCTCACCACCCATAACTTTCCATCACTCACTATTGGGCCATTCAATCAGTCTTCATCTTTTGGAAAGGGAAGACAGTCTACAAATATTTTCTTATGCAAACACCTTATGTAACGTTCCAATAAATTGCTTGGGCTTCATAATAAATACTGTCTTTCCCCAAAGCCAAACACATCTACTTCTGACATCAAAAGCAGATTGAGAGCTGGGCACAGTGAGGCGAGCCTGTAATTCTAGCATTCTGGGAAGGCAGAGGCAGGCAGATTTCTGTGAGTTCAAGACCAGCCTGGCCTACAAAGTGAGTCCAGGACAACCAAGGCCACACAGAGAAACCCTGTCTCAAAACAAAAACAAAAAAGCAGACTGAGGTTTCTCTTGAAAATGCCTAATCCTAAACCTACATTGTGCTGAATGTCTCCTTCCAAAGCTCAGCTCATATTCAGACCAACAACACAGGGTCTGGCTAACAGGATTTGCTGCTGCGAGCTGTTGTTTGGAGCACTGCACTTTCTGTTTATTTTCTGCGGGGGTGGGGATATGTGTGTGAAGGAAGGGCTGGCACATGCTACATGAATGTGGCAGTTGGAGAACAACTCATGGGTATGATGGCAAGTGCCTTTATCTTCTGAGCCGTCTCCCTTCTGTATTAGCACTGTGTTTTACAATCACAGAGTTAAGGGTTTATAAAAGAAAAGGGCTGGAGTGATGACTGTTTTTAAGTGTGCACACTGCTCAGGACAGCCACCTGAGGCAGCACAAAACATCCTGTAATTTCAACATTTTTTTTTTTAAAGACCTTCCCCAACAATCTTTTCAATGGTAGGAAAAGTAACTGTAATAAATGGACTTCATGATCCAGAAAACTTTATCTAAAGGAATGTAGGAAATCAAAGCTATTTGATGTCAACAGATACAGGAGCCCAAATAAAAAAGTACAAAATGAGGGTGCAGATGCAAATACTCGCTTCACTTTTAACATTTTAAATAACCTGCAGCGCTTTTACAGTCTTACCCCTAAAGTGTGTCTTGATGAACACTGAACATTAAAACATTGTGTGATACAATATAAACAAACAGAAGTGAATACCAGTGCATAGCTCTAAAATTTCCAGCAGCTTAAGAACACATCGGAAAATTAATGATGTGAAGTAAAAGCTGTGTAGAATTATTTTTAAATTAAGAGTCCTCCTGGTGTTCTTTACTTTGGGGTCTTAGAGGTGAGAAGACGATGAGGTCATCACCAAAGGAGAAGAGTCGGGCGTGCTCTTGCTGTCTGGTCTCCTCCTGCCGGCAGGGGCTGGTGCAGCTTGGGGCTGGCTAAAGAACACATTCAGAGAAGTCACTGAATCCACCATCTAGAGTTGCCCCGAAAAAATTCTCTACACTGTTAGTTAATTTAGTGCCAAAGAATAAGTAAGTTTCCCTATGTAACAATGAAATTATTTTAACATAAGACCTACTGTAAACCTTTTTGTTTGTTTGGTTTTGGAGACAGGGTTTCCTGTCCTGGACTTACTCTGTAGACCAGGCTGGCCTTGAACAAAAGAGATCCGCCTGCCTCTGTTTCCCGAGTACTAGGACTAACGGTGTGTGCCACCAAAGCCTTTAATTAAAAGGCATACCATAAACTTTTACTTAAAAAAATGACTAATATATAAATGGACTTTGACAGCATATGTAGGATGGTTTCAGATTCCGCAAATCCTAAGCCATGTAAAGCACTCAGCGGTCTTCTACCTACTGGGATCTTTTACCTTCCCCAGCCAAGCCCTATTTCAGTTTTAAATGACGCTGTTTGGCAAGCACTAATCTGGGCCTAAACAGAGAGCTGGACTTACGTACCTAATGTTTACTATTTATGGAAATGGAAAAAAATCTTAGACAAGTATAAAGTACTAAGACCCAATAAGACAATATAACTAGAAAGCACCTATGATCATATTACAGAATAATTTTCAGATTTACTTATATATTTAAAATCAATCATTCAGAGATGAGACCTAAGAATAGGATTAAATCAGGTTTGATACACAAATTAGCCTTACATTGTTGAAGTCCCTAATCTAAATTCCAGTTTATGAGTAAAGAAAATTGAGACTAAGAAAAATGTTCATAGCAGAACATTTTTGCTCCAGACACACAGGGCAGCCTGGAGCCTGACCACAAAGACAGTAGATGTGCAAGGTCACAAAGGCAAAGACAAAAATCCTTTAGGAAATAGTTGCTTAAGGAATACAAGCATCTGCTGCTCCTTAATTCTCTAATTGCTTTAATGGATTGCTTGTTTCTAGTGAATGCATGCAAGGGCATATACACAAGAGTATATGCACGAGAGCATATGCACAAGAGCAGAGAGGTCACAGAACAGCTTGCGGGGACTGCTTCAGTCCTTCTACACTCTGATTCTGAGGAGTGAAGTTAGGTAGTCAGGCTTGCTCAAGTGCCTCTAACTACTAAGTCATCTTGCCAGCCTTGTGAATGTCTTATATTCGTATTCAGGACTAGCAAACCAAAGTCATTTCCTGATTCACTGCAGCAGCTGATCCTGCAGTCTTTCATGACAACTCAGTAAGCTGCGTCAGACTCACCGGAAAAACCAGGTGACAAGGTCCTATTCCAGATCATTGAAATGAGACTATCTAGAGATAGAATAAAGCCGCAACTATCAACCCAATAGGAAATCAGATTTCTGAAATGATGGTATATTTTACAAATATAATAAATTCACACTGTACTCTTAGTAAGAGATTAAGTATATATGTGTGTGTGTGTGTGTGTGTGTGTGTGTGTTATGCTATATACCCATGTCTGCATTAAACTAATATGGGAGGGAACTTTTACAAGAAGACTTCAGAAGTGCTAACTAATGTTTAAACTAAATTTTCAAGGAAGAGATTACTAAAAGTAAAGTCTGGGGAGCTTAAAAATAAAATAGCAAAAGCCGGATGGTGGTGGTACGTGCCTTTAAGCAGGGGGATCTCTGTGAGTTGGAGGCCAGCCTGGTCTACAGATTGAGTTCCAGAACTGTCAGGGCTACAGAGAAATCCGGTCTCGAAAAAACAAACAGCAACAGCAGAAAGTCTAAAGAACACCCTGCGCCCCACCAGTTTGCTTCACAGCACCTGCACAGACCATAAAGAGCACAGGAATGGAGACAAGCTTCTCAGCAAGCATCTACACTTAGTTCAAAGCCTGGCAAATTTTTTGTGAAGAGAAAATAAATTATAAGAGCAAACTGGACCTGGTGGCTTCCAAGGATGCTGGGGAAAGAAGGTTGCAGTTCAAGGTTTGCCAGGTCTACACAGTCATAGAAGGAAGATATAATACACCGTATAGCTATGATATCATCAAGTTTGGTTAAAAAAAAAAAAATAGAGGCCAGGGCAAGAGAAGGTTAAGAGCTCTGGCTGCTCCTCCAGAGAACCCAAGTTTGATTCCCAGGAGCCACAACCTTCTGTAACTCCAGGTCCAGGAGACTTGACACCCATTTCTGGCTCCAACAGGTACTACATGCACATGGTGATTGATACGCATGCAAGGCAAAATGTTCATATACATAAAATAATTCTAAAAAAATTTTCAAAAGAGGCCAAAGATCACTGATTCTTCCTCTTGTTCACTACTTCTGTATTCATCTTGACGTGGCTTGAAGAATTCAAAGAGGGTATGGTTTCAAACAAACCAAGAGCCATTCAAATGAGAATGATGACTGCATGACTCACTTAGACTTCCAAAAGAAATTGTTATTTTTTTCTTTCTTTAATGGAGACACTTAGTGTCTCCATTAAATGTCTGGCATAGGCAGATGACACCCTTGGCTACCTACCAACACCTTGGACTTACACAGTCTATGTCACTTGGATCTTGTTCTCTAGGACATGGAGTGTCTTCTACTCGACTGTACCTGAAACAAACAGTGGCATTATACACAAATAAACACACACAGACACTGACTTTTGCTCTGAGTCCATTCTTCACGGAGTCTGCTAGTTTGCATAATAGGGTCAGACACAGAGCCTGGCCCTGATCTATACAGACTGGACAGGTATTGTATGATGGTCATGCAGACGGTGTACTCTTTCCATGGAAGTTCCCAGGACCCTTCCCATGCCGATCACTCAAGCTAATATGGCTCCACCTGCAACATGAGCCTTAGCCAGAGCCGCATAGCTAGGAAAAGGTGGAGAGGAGGCTGCTTCTGAAGCAGAACACCTCTATTGTGCACCGAGTTTGGTTTTTTTGTGTAACAGTCTTGCTATGTAACCCAGGTTGGTTTGTCAGTGTTCCCGCTTCAGCTTCCCAAGTGGTGGGACTACAGCTGTACCACCATGCCTCCAAATTGGCTATGTTTACCTGATAGTATAATTCAATATTTTAATCATAAACTTACGGAGAGACCAGATCTGGGCATGTATGTACCCACATACATACAGACACAACAGACATAAATAAAAATGTAATTGAACAACAAAGTACAGGGCTGACAGAGTACTTGCCTAGCATGTGTGAGGCTCTGTATTCAGTCTTAGGACTACCAAAACACCAAATCCAAGAGAATGCCACAGCCAAACTCATTCTTTTGTACGTTAATAAAAGACAAATTAAGAAAATTTATCTTTCATAATCTCTTCAGGGATCCACAAGATGGTTCCTAGGTAAAGGAGCCTGCCAACAAGCCTGATGACCTTGAGTTCAACCCCTGGAACTCACATGAAAGCTGTCCTCTGGTGCCCATTCATGCATGCCAAGGAATGCATGCATGAATCTACACTTTCAAAGCAAATAAACTGAACGCTAATTTCAGTCTCTTCAAAGTCTGTGTTAAAATATGCTCTTCCAGAGAAGAGATGGAGTCTGCTGTTCTTACAGAGGAAGAGAGTTTGGTTCCCCTGCTAGTCACCTTACAATTGCCTGTAACTCAGACTCCAGGAAATCTGAAGTCCTCCTCTGGCCCCTGTGGGTACCCACACATATAGCACACAAAATTACACAGCCCCTACAGGTACTCACAAACATATATATATATATATATATATATATATATATATCTCTTCTCCACTTTTATGTTGTTTCTAGGGACTGAACCAGGCTTGCAAAAAAAGTGCCTTTACCCACTGAGCTACCTTGCTAGCTCCAGATTATCATTTTGGGGAACAAGTACTTATAATATGACTCAAACACTATTACAGATCTTCCTAATATAGATAATAAATTATAAACTATACAAAGTAGCATGATAATAAATTGGTATATTACAAAACACAGATTTTTATAATACCAAAAGTATTTTTGTAGCCCTGAAGGATAAAAATGCCCAGGTGGATCTCTGGATCTCTGTGAGTTCGAGGACAGCCTGGTCTACAAAGTGAGTCCAGGAAACCAGGGCTACACGGGGAGGGGGGGGGGGACATTCAACAAAATAGTTGAAAACTTTCATGTGCTTCCTGTATTTGAACTCATTGGGCCTGCCTCTCCACCCCAACCCCATTTCCTCCCACCGCCTTATGTATTTACTGTTTTTTGGATTTTTTTTCCAGTGAGGAGTGCTCAACACTTTCCAAACTTCAGATTAGTAATAAGCCCAACATCTTATTTAGACATCAGATACAATTTTATTTCCTACTTGTTTCAAGTTCTTTTCCCCTATCATATGCACTGCATATTTATTTTTGAACCACTTAAAAGGACAGCTTAGGTTATTTTGATGCACTGTATGAAGAATTGATCAACTGAGCAATTATAAGACGAATTTCATTAAGATACCACTTCACTTTTCTCACCCAGGACCTGACGTGGCTGTTGTAAGGGATGACACTAGTCAATAACCTGAAATGATGTCTAGGTTGTCTGCACTCACTGGCTACTTTCTATAAAGACCAGAACAGAAGTATGTGCCTCTTAACCACCCGAAAGCAGCAGAGCGCTCCACTTCTGGAGCGGAGGAAAGTGAAGCTGAGCTAATTAATCTGTCCCAAATTTTCCCAGCTGGTAAGTCATGTGGTTGGTTTGGAGCTCAGGTTTGCTAAGCACCAGAGGGCACCATACTGTTCTTTTTCTCCCGTGTATTGCACAATGCACTTTTCACTTTTGCCAATCTAAAACTGACCAACTTCAATCTTTCTATTTTCTTTTGTTTTAAGTGAGGCTATGCTGCTAAGGCTGGTCTCAAACCTCTGATTAAATAAGGGGTTTATAAGCCTCAGTCTCCTGAATGGCTATGACTACAACCACCATACTTGGTTCCAACCTAATATAAATATATATATATTTAGATTTATTTATTTTTAATGCATTGGTGTTTTGCGTGCATGTATGTCTATGTACGGGCGTAAGATCACTAGAGTAGGAGTTACAGATGACCATGCGGATAACTGGGAATTGAACCCAGCTCCTCTGGAAGAACAGCCTGTGCTCTTAACCACTGAGCTATCTCTCCAGCCCCCCAACATGAAATCTTAAATCTGTTTCCTCACTTAGAAAAGAGCAAGTCTTGCCTACATGTTATGGAATCATATGTTCTAATCATTTAATTAGAAACATATGGCTGTCACATTTTACTACCTAAAGCATGTGAAATGATAGTTTCTATCAACACGATTAAACTCATAATGCACATTAGAGAAATACCTGCTTTCAAGAGTATCTGAAAACAACGTCTTATCAACATGTTCACTTTCGCTGCTCTGATCAGGCTTCTCCAGTGACATCCTTTGTCTTAGAAGGTCCCCTGCAGCCCTGCTCTCAGGCACAACTCTGTTGGCAGAATTAAGTGTTCCAAATCTTTGAGAACGACGCTCAGAAGAAAGTACTAGAAAAAGAAAAAATAACCTCCATAGCAAAAGTCCTTTTGTTTACTTTTTATTCAGAAAGGCAGTGCAAATCCTACTAACTAGGACTTCTCTCATCAACATTTGTTAAAGTCAAGTGCCAAGGATGTTTTTTATAAAAGAGAATTAACACATTAGACTATGCAGGTAGGACTTTGGGACTGAAGAGATGGTTCAGCAGTTAAGAGCACTAGCTGCTCTTCTAAAGGAACCAGGTTTGGTTCCCAGCGCCTCATGGTGTTTCACAACAGCTGTTACTCCAGGTCCTAGGGATATGATGCCCTTTTCTGGCTTCCAGAGCCATCAGACACACACATGGTACAGACAAACATGCAGGTAAAGCATCCATATACATAAAATAAAACATTAAAACTTAAAAAAAAACATAAAAAGAGGTACAACCATGACAATAAAAGATAATAGTAAGAATATTTTAGAAGATACAATGTAAATTAGCAAGTATTCCTTAGCTACCCAGACAAATAAATGCTTGGGTCAAGAGCGACAACACAGCGGCAAGGTGGCACATGTCTTTAATCCCAGCACTGGGAAGGAAAAGGTAGAAGGATCTCTCTGAGGTTGAAGCCAGCCTGGTCTACATATCAAGTTCTAGGACAGCAAGGGCCACATAGAAAAACCCTGTCTCAAAAACAAGACAAGACAAAACCAAACCAACAAAATCCCCTCGCAAAGCAAAAAACCAAACCCAGTTTGAATAACAAGTTCCTTTGATATTTTATCCAGAATAGTATTGATGAGATCTAGCTTGAGAATAACAAAAAACAAAAACAAACAAACAAACAAAAAAAAAAAAAAAACCTGGAAAAACTGGGAACTTTCCCCTAACTGCTAAGTGCAGAGTACACCCTCTTCCCTCTGCCCCACCTCCCCCGCCCCAGGACTCAAACCTCACAGACAGTCAGACAGTTGCTGAAGAAACCCCAAGGATATAGATGCAGGCAGTCCTTGGCACATTCACACAGATGGTTGCTGGAAAAGCCCCCAAGGACACAGGTCGGGGCAAGCAATCCTTGGAGAAACAGCAAAGCAGGCAGCTTAATCCTGAGCAGGCTGGCCCATGCACATAGCTAGACCTAGACTATCCACCAATGAAAAATTGCCCTGTTGCTATTTCCAAAGTGCCTATAAAAACCCTAAGCTTTTGTTCCTCAGGGTCACCTCTCCTTATGGTACAGGAGACCCCAACATGTTGGTTTCAATAAATGTCTTGCTGTTTGCATCTGGTCTCCATGCCTTTCCTGGTAACATATGACTCCCACAAGTCTTACAGTAATTCCTGGGACAGCTGAGACACAAGCTGTATCCTGCTGTAGATGGTTATCAGATACAGCTGAACATGAGTTAGTACATGGAAATAAGGGAACAAGTGAATATTTATAAATACATTCTTGAGATACCGGCTTCCCCTCACATGGCACTGGAATGTCTGGTACCAGAATCACAGTCCTGGCAGGAAGTTAGAGAATGATCTCACTGAGAATGAGCAGCATACAGAACACCTGAATACAGGGATGTGAAGTGGGGACTGGTGGCACAAGCCTGACGCCACAGCCTCTTCAGAGGCCAGGCCAACAGGACTACAGCAAGTTCCAGGCCTGATGAGTTCAAGGACAGCCTGGGAAACTAAGCCAGGCCTTGTCTCAAAAGGGAATTTCAAAAAGGGTGGTTATAGTTCTAAGGACAAGTGCTTGCCTAGCATATGTAAAGCTGAGTTTGATCCCAAGGATCTCAAACGCAGTGAGGTACAGGTTTCCACAAAATAGTTCAGTTGCCTCCTCACCTCTGCTATGCAGAGGGGCTGCAGTCAGCTGAGGGAAGTATGACAGCTCCAATTCCTACTGCATCTTCATTCTAACCTAACTTGTCATGGAACCTTACAGACAGTGTGACTACATGGCTATAGACACTATGATATCACTTGGAAAACACAAACATGATCTTAAAAGATAAATCATGCACAAACCAATATGACCACACCTCTCAAAATGAGATTTGCAGAGCTGGAGAGATGGCTCAGAGGTTAAGAGCACTAGCTGGTCTTCCAAATGGCCCTAGTTCAATTCCCAGCAACCACATGGTGGCTCATAACCATATATAATGAGATCTGGTGCCCTCTTCTGGTGTGTTAGGAATACACGTAGGCAGAATAATGCATAAAAAATAAATAAATAAATAAACAAACAAACAAACAAATAAATAAATAAATCGAAAGAGAGAAAGAAAGAAAGAAAGAAAGAAAGAAAGAAAGAAAGAAAGAAAGAAAGAAAGGAAGGAAGGAAGAAAGAAAGAAAGGAAGAAAAGAAAAGAAAAGAAAAGAGAACCTTTGCTGGGCAGTGGTGGCGCATACCTTTGATTCCAGCACTCAGGAGGCAGAGGCAGGCAGATCTCTGTGAGTTTGAGACCAGACTGGTCTACATAGTGAGTTCCAGGACAGCCAAAATTACACACAAAGAAACCCTGTTTCAAAAAACAAACAAAGAGAGAGAGAGATTTGCATATTGGTTTGCTAGCACAGAGTCTACTTGCTAGAAATCAGTGCACTTAAATCTTTTCATATGAAAATTATTTTTCACCTTTTACTCAAGCCCTCATTTGGCCCAAGTATTTTCTCTTACATCTTAGCAAACACAAACCTGAAAATGATTTAACAGGACTCTCAATTCTGAAAAATCCAGCATCAAACACTATTTTGTCAACTTCCTTTGGTGTTTTCACAGTTGCCCCTTGGGTATGCTCTTCCTGCCTTAGTCTCTCTTTCATTGCAGTTTTTATGGCAGCCAGACGGTTTCTAGCTGCTATTCGTCCATCATCATCCTGTTTTGCTTTCATTGTTCTACCAGGCACAGTTTTTTTCTGCAAAGAGAAAGAGTAGTAATTAAGGTGTGTTCATTACCATCCATTTCCTGTTCCTTTGGTACTGAGGATTGAACCTAGAGCCCCTTCCATAGCAGGAAATCTTTCTACCACTAAAGTGAGCTGCAAGCCCTTTTGACTTTTTATTTTGAGACAGGGTCTCACTAAGCTGTAACAGCTGGTTCTAAATGTGTACCCATTCTATCCTCAGGACCAGAAGAAATTAAAGGCAGCATCATCCCAACAGGGTATCATCTTGTATGGTGGTTGATCCTCAGGAGAACTGTTTGGGCAGAACTGGATGTGGCCCTGCTGAAGGAGGGGTGATCTTGCTGGAGGAGGTATGTCACTGGGGGTGGGGGGCTCAAAATCATCCATGACCTGAGTTCCAGGGGACCCAACAGGCATGCATGTGGTTCATACACATACATGCAGGAAAACATTCATAAGAGAGAGGTAGTGGCTGGGATCTGTACCCTGAGCACTTAGGAGGCCAGAGGAAGACTGCTATTGTGGACTTGGATGAGAGCTGGACTCAACACGTCTTAAAAACACCCAATGGCATGACAACGGCATTCTTCTGAGACAGGAACCAGTTCAGGGAAAGGGTTTACTGAAGGTACTCTCAGACAATGATGAGCAGAACTTGAGCTGGAGCTGTAAGTGTTGTACATAGTACAGATGTGGGACACCAAGAGGTAGGTTAAGATGCACAGGAGCAGGAACTAGGGGGACTGGACAGCTTTTAAGAGAGCTTACTGCTCTTTCAGAGGACTGAGTCTGGGGCCCAGCACCAACACTGGGCTGCTACTAGCAGCCTGCAACTCCAGCTCCAGGGCATCCAACACCATCTTCTGGCCTGAAAACCCACACACATAAACACATCTGGGATGGAGGGGGAGGGGAAGACTGCACAGGAATGGCTGGGCTGGGCTGTAGTTTAGTGGTAAGGCATTTGCCTAGCATACATTAGGTCCCCAGTTCAATACTCTCCTATGCCAAAGACAAAAAACTAAATTAATAAATAAAACCCATGAAAAATATGTGTGAACAGAGAAAAGAGAGTTGAAGTGGGAACTCCGAATATTAAATATTTAAGGGATAATGCAAAACAAACTTGCAAACACTCAGCCTGGACCGTGGTAAGTGCACTAACCATGTCAAGAGAGAGGGCGCAGACAGCAACAAGATTAAAATGCATACGTCACGTCTCTAATAACTTCAGTAACTAATGGGGCAGAGTGACGAAACCGATGAGGAAACACACAGTAGAGACGTGCATGCTTTTCAGGAAACTGTGGCTGAGGAGGAGCTGAGAATGGGGCGGGGCGCGCAATAAGACAAGTGAACAGGCAAGCTGGCTGCTTTAGTGTAATCAAGGTTAGATCCTGAACACATTTAAACAGGGAGTAACAGAAAATAAAGCTAAATGACAAACTGAGAGAGCTCGGTGTGAGTTACAGGCTGTGTCATGAAAGTTTCGGTAAAAGGTTAGTTTTATTCCATTAACAGTGGCCTTAAGGGCCTGGTGTACAGCTCAGACATAAAGCACTGGCCCAGGGTACATACTTCCCCGGGTGATCCCGGAATAGAAAGTTCTCCCAACTAGTGGACGGACGCAAATCAGGGGAGACATCTGGTGAGCACAGGCAGAATTGCAGCTCTTACAGGACACAGCCTCCAGTACATTATTATTTTGAGAGCTAAACTCTCAAATAAATACTCCCAGGGTGTCAGGAGCAGTGGTACAAGCCTGTAATCCCAGTATCCTGGAAGCTGAGGCGGGAGGATTCCATGTTTGAGTTCAGGCTGGGACACCTTGTTGTGGATATAAACATAGTTTTGTTTTAATCCCAGGTGTGGGATGTGGGACTGATTCAGATGGTTCACAGCAGCAAACTATTTGTCTCGTGCAGTCTCTGAGAGAAGCTCTTTGCCAGCTGCAGATAGTTTAAATCTGAGGACTCTGGAGAGAGAATAAATGCCAGGGCCCAGAGGGTGTGGAGTAACTCCAAGAAAGAACAAGGCTGTTGCTGCTTACTCCCTGCGGCTCCTGTTGCTGTTGATGCAGTGAGACAGAAGTTGGAGATCTCCTAAAAGGAGGATTGGACTGGCTCCAAGGAACCCTACTACCATAGCCAGCAGGAAGCAGCTAAGAGAACTGCACACCCTCCCCCACTAACCGTTTCTCTCTCCTACCTGGTGTTGTGATGTTGGAACGGATAGCGGTAGAGTAGAAAGAAAGATAAGAAATGTATACAAGAGGTTTTCTTTTTTAAAGTACACCAACAATACCTAGTGAGACCCATCTCAAAAAAAAACAAAAACAAATATCATGGTACTAGCCCCTTTTAGAAATAACATCCTTAACTATTATAGAATATTTGATATTTATTCAACTATCTAATCTTTCAGATCCTTGCAGTGACATTTCTTTGGGATGAAACAATGAAGTTTCTTTTAATACTTTAACATTTCGCAATCCTAACACAAAATTCAGAACAGTTCTGTTTGCCTAATACTTTATAAACTATAAACCTGAGTTTATAAATTACGTGTACTTCGAAAATCAGAAGAAAACTGGCAATCTCACAAATCTCAAGAGTAAGATGGACTTTAAAACAAGGTCTTAAATTCACATACATATGTGAGTTTAAGTGTGAAAATTTGCAGGAACACAGGTGCCCCAGAGTCCACGAGAGTATCAGAAGCTAGAACTGGAGTGACAGGCCACAGTGAGCAAGCCTGTGTGTGTGTGCGCGCACAAGAGTGCTCTGAACCCCAAAATGGACTCTTAACAAAGCAGACTTTATAGAAAACCTTATCAGCATAGTGACGAAACACATAAACTATCATTCTGCTGTCTGTTCCACAGAAGCACGAAAACAGCGAGGAGGTGTAATCCACCCGTAAGAGCACGGATTCTGCGGTAAGGAAGCCTAGAATGAATTCCTTGGGCAAATGATTACAGCTTTTGTAATACTGGATTTTTTTCAACCATAAACTGTGGACATAGCACCCCTCTAAATGGACTGCTTTAAAGTGTAACGCTATTTGGAATTTAACATAAACAAAACACGAATTATCTAATGCTATTGCAATTACAAACAAATACATAAGTATAGGATGTTTGTTCTGTTTTTCTAAGAGAGTGCTGTGTGGCCCTGGCCATCCTGGCTACATATGACGCTTGCTACATGGCCCAGGCTGCCCTTGAATACATGGTAATCATTCTGCCCCAGCCTCAAGAGCTGGTACTACAAGTACGCCATACACCAAGTGTCGGCAAAGGTACAGGTCTCAGACTAAAACATCACCTGCCATCTACCTACTGTTTAGGAACATAAAAGTCACCTAGGCACCTCAATTCCATCACACATCTTTTATTTTCGTCTCTGTAGAAATAAACATCTTACATTTCATGTTGATGATATCCTTACTTTTCCCCCCAAAGGCAATCAAAATGTAATAAAGCAATATATTAAATTTAGCTTGTGAAGCAAGAAACCCAGAGCGAAATATTTTCAAAGTTTACATGGTGAAGAACCAACACCTCCAAGTTGTCCTCTGCACCCCACATGTACTCCGTGGCACAGACAGACTACCCCACCCAACTACCCACACAGAGAAATATATTTTTGAAAGCAAAAACCAGAGAAGACTCTATGCTAGAAATTTGAGTAGAAAATGCACAAACCTACCCGGAGAACTTTTTTACTTGGATTGTCATCTTTCCATCCAGATTCCTCAAGTTTGATCAAATTGTTGAATTTCTGATTCACATCATCTACCTGTTAATAAAAGCCCAAGTTCATACAATTAATGCTATGTAAAAATTGCTACTTTGTGACTCTAAAATGACTATGTTAAATAAACTGAAAATGGCAACCCAAAGCCATAGTTAGTTATTAAATTTAAAATCCTGTGTGGGGTATATGTGCAGTTGGGTGATGAGAGAGGGAGTGAGAGCAAGAGAGCGAGAGAGAGAGAGAGAGCGCACAACAGGGTCTCACGTCAACCCATGATGACCCACAACTTGCTATACAGTCCAAGAACATACCTGAACTCCCAATCCTCCTGCTCCACCTTCCAAATGCTGGGGTCATCTTGTTTCTCCAGCAAATACTAATCATGTTGTTCTCAGCACTGCACACAAATCATGCATGAACACATGCTGTGTGGTCCCAAAGTCACCACCTGAGTGTTTCCCCACATTCAGAGTATGTTTAGCTTTGCAGAGAGCCACCAAACGGTCCTCTAGCCTGGGCCTGCCATTGGCGTTGTTGTTCCCGCGTGCTGCTCGCTCGCCAGTGCTCACTGTCAGTTTTGCGCTTCTGCCATGCTAACAGGTGTCTGGTTGGCTGTCACTCTATTGCTTTAATTGCTAATTGCCTGGTGACATATGATGCTGAGCATCATTTCAGATGCTCACCATTTCAACAGTCACCATCTGTTTGCACTCTGGGCTACGGCAGCCCTTCAGGTCTTCCCTAAAATCTTTAAATTGGGTTGCTCATCTTCCTGAGTCCTTTCTCACTTTTTTAAGGGGGAGGACGAATGGGAGGAGAGGAAACCCTCCAAATTCCAAATCCAGAGATGAGGAAGAAGGTACCAAGCACTTGCCTGGCAGAGGGAAGGCCTCAGCTTAGGTCCTCAGCATGACAGCAGAGAGGGGAAAACCCCCAGATAAAATGTCAAGGTATTTACACATAATCTATGTTTATCCTTCGGTACAGTTGGAACCATATGTATATTCTTTATAATTCTGAATACAATTCTGAAGGCAAATTCTATAGAATTACTTTTCCAGGGCAATGATAGTGAAGGTGAATGCTGCCACACAAATGATCTGCTTGCTTTTTTCTTCCTTCAAGATTGATTTTATTTTATGTATATATGTTATGTGTGTATGCCTGAGTATACATATGTGACCCATGTGAGTATGGGTGGCCATAAGTGGGAGTAGGATCCATGGCACCAGACTTATAAACTTGTAAACTGTCTAATGTGGGTGCTTGGAACAGTAAGAAGAGCAAGTGTTCTTAACTGCTGAGCTATGTCTTCAGCTCCATATATATGTATGTATGTGTGTATATACATATATATGCATATATGTATGTATATGCATATGTATATATATAAAACATACATATATACATGTATGTATGTATATATACACATACATAAATATACATACATACATATATATATATATGTATAGTATGTTTTTTGTTTTTTGAGACAGGGTTTCTCTGGGTAGCTCTGGTTGTCCTGGAACTTGCTCTGTAGACCAGGATGACCTTGAACTTGGAGACCCTGCTGCCTCTGCCTGGGCTTACAGGCGTGCATCACCATGCCTGTTCTGCTTGTGCCTCTTGGTCATTTCTGGCTACACTGCCTGGCACACAACAGGAATTCAGTCACCGCACTAACTCACTCCTCACACGTGCAGTTATCAGACTCTCTGACAACACAGGGAGAAGACAGTGCAGCTTACATGGGGCCTCCTGATAGCTCGATTATTACATCCTAAGTAGCTAAATTTTATCCCATTTTCCTGTTGTTAGAGCAAATATACACAACATACCTGACACATACCTGAAAACTAACCATATCCCAAAATCCATCCAGATCTGTACAGGTGGTCTCCTTTTCACCTCGTTTATATTCACAGTTGTCCACCAGTCCTTCAAACTGTTTGAATCTCTCCTTAATGAGGAGTCTGGTTTGACCAACTGCTGTTCGAATAAGATCTTTAGCTAAACAAGTTAAGAAATGAAAACAGGCCTTTATAGCAAGCCAGACAACTGAGACTTAACTTAGAGCTTATCGAATCAAATTCTCACAGCAAAATAAAAACAAAAACACCCAAAACACTTTGCCATTGATATTGAACACTAGTTCCTTGCTTCAAGTACCAGTGGTAATTAGCAGAGTCCATCCTTAATCATACAGGTCTTCACAGTGAATATCATTCCCTTTCTCCTTGTGTTATATTTTATTTATTTATTTTATCAACTTTTTTTAAAAAAGATTTATTTATTAGGTATACAGTGTTCTGTCTGCATGTACACCTGCATGCCAGAAGAGGGCACTAGATCTCACTATAGATGGTTATGAGCTACCATGTGGTTGCTAGGAATTGAACTCAGGGCCTCTGAAAGAGCAGCCAGAGCTCTTATCCTCTGAGCCATCTCTCTAGTCCTGGACTTGCATTTTAAGAAACTTCAACCGCAAACAAGTTAAAATACATAAATATCCAAAGACATCATGATGTACTTTATATACATGACTTCTCCAAATATGGTACTAACGATCTTTGCTAAAGTTTGTTTTCATAGTGATTTGAATAATTATTATTTGAAATATACACATACATATATTTCTAAACAAATAATTATTTTGTGGTTGTTGATTTGTTTTAAAGATTTGTTTATTTTATTTTATATATACTGTTCTGCCTGCATATACACCAGAACAACAGAAGAGGGCATCAGATCTCATTATAGATGGTTGTGAGCCACCATGTGGCTGCTGGGAATTGAACTCAGGACCTCTGAAAGAAGAAGCAGTGCTCTTAACCTCTGAGCCATCTCTCCAGCCTTTGTTTTGTGATTTTTTTTTTGTTGGTGGTGGCAGTAGGGGTTTTTTGGCTTGGTTCTTTGGTTGTTTTTTTGGTTGTTTTTTTTTTGTTTGTTTGTTTGTTTTTTGTTTTTTTTGAGACAGGGTTTCTCTGTGTAGTCCTGGCTGTCCTGGAACTTTCTTTGTAGACCAGGCTGGCCTTGAACTCAAGATCCACCTGTCTCTGCCTGGGATTAGCATAGAAATATTAGGAAACATATGTTAGACTACTCTTAGTATTTTGAAGAATTCTCAAACTACAAAGCTGGACAACACTAGAATTTTAATATTGAAATGAAGGTCAAGCCCTTGCTTAGCACATGCAAGATCCTGGGTTCAATCTACACTACTCCTACAAACAAGAGAACAAGCCTTACTTCACACATCATCATCTTTATGGTCAGGTGTGTCTGAACACCTGTAAGCCCAGCCCTTGGGAGGTGGACCAGGATGACCAGGAGTTCAAGGTTACCTTCAAGTACCTGCCAGCCTGTCCTGATAGAACCTCTCAAAAACATCATCAACAAACAACACAATGATAACAACAAGCATGAAACCTAAGATAATTTTTTTCTTACCATCATCAGGAATGTCCAGTTCCAGCTTCCTATCCCACTCCAGGCAGTATGAGGTTAATCTCTCAGTTTCTGATTGGAGGATTTTTCTAAAATTGTGATATACATTTAGTGTTCCAAGTGTCACCCACCTTAGTTCAATCTTACTATTTTGACACTTTAATACTTAAGATTAGAATGGTTTAAAACAAAGGTGCACCAGGCAGTGGTGGTGTGTATGCCTTTAATACTAGCACTTGGGAAGCAGAGATAGGTAGATCTCTGAGTTTGAGGCCAGCCTGGTCTACAAAGCCACTTCCAGGACAGGGACAGCCAGGGATACAGAAAAACCCTGTCTCAAAAAAACAAAACAAAAAGATTTTTAAAAATCAGAGGAACAAAAAAATTTAAATAAAATACTCATGATACTAATTTTGGAGACATGTGTTAGGATTTAATGAACTAACATACTAAATATACTTAATATACTAGCACTCATGAAAGACACATTTCGTATGATCATATACCTTGTGTATGTCCATTCATCTATACCTAAAATTTATATTGGATGGATGATACCAAGAACCATTTTTCAAGCCACTTTCTGATTTGTTGTGCTCTCTGCTCAGAGGCTGACTAGAGCCCAACACTCCTTGCTCTGTAAGACATGCTCAGATACTCTTTATGGAACTCAGGACAAGCAAGCGACAAAAGCTGAAGATAAACCTGTGGAGTCTAGAATTAAAGTTCCAGGGCCTTGACTGGAGTGCCGAATTGCACGCCTGCAGTCCTGGCACTGAGGAAGTAAGTCAAAGTCCAGCATGGCCCACACAGTGAGTGCCAGCCAGCTATGGCTGAAGAGCAAGACCCCGTCTCAAAAAAGAAACCAAGAACAAGAATACACAGCAAACCCGTTCCAGAAGGGTATAAGGCCTTACAGAGTCTAGCGATTAGATGGGTTTCCTGCTTGAGTCAGTTTAGCTTAGACAACATTTGATGATGTCTAGAGACTTTTTTCTTTTATTGAGATTTGTTGTTGATGGTGTTTTGAGATAGGGCTGCTTTCTTTGCAGCTCTGGCTGTCCAGGCAAGACTAGGCCAGACTCGAACACAGACAGATCTGCCTGCTTCTGCCTCCCTAGAGTGCTGGTCCAAATGTGTGTCCCACAACCAGCTGGCTCTAGAGACTTTTTAAAAACAAGGTATCACTATAGAGCCCTGGCTGCCCTTGATTCTCCTCCTTTATGCTGAGACTAAAGGTGTATGCCACTGAGCCTGGCTGCTTGTCACTATAGGACAGAGATGCTCCAAACACTCAACAATGTCCAGAATGGATCCCCAACAAAAAGTGCATAATCTAAAATGTGCATAATGCTGAGGCCGAGAGCCCTAGGCCTACGAGGAGTAAAATCTGTGCTCATACAGACACCCCAGAGGGCAGAGAAATCAATACTTCAAACATGATCCAACAATCCACATCTAGGTACACATCAAAGAATTGAAAGCAAAGTCCTAAGGGCATTTTTGCACACTCACGTTCATTGTAATTGTAATCGGTAAAAGATGGAAGTGAGCCAAATGTCATTACAGCGAGGTGTGGTGGCACCAGGGTCAGTCACAGAAGGATCAATCTACATCAGAGACTGCGATAGTGAGTTATGGGCCAGTCAGGGAAACACAGCATGACACGGTCACAAAAAGAACAAAAACAAAACAAACCACAGAAATGCAAATGACAGATATGTGGAGAAGCTAACTGTGGTACATGTGGAGCACTGTCTAAGGTGTGTCTCCTTTCACGTGTTTGAGTGTTGGCTGACACGCAGTAAGGGCACCACGTGTGTACAGTGCCTGTGGAGGACACAGTCGGGTACAGGATTCCTCAGAATTGAAGTGACACTGGCGGTGGGCTGCCAGGTGAGTGCTAGAGCAAACTCCCCTTAATGGCTGAGCTCTCTCTCCAGCCCAGCTCCCCATCCCCCAGTACTATCTAACCCCGAGAAAGAACAACCAGGGACAGGCCTCACGTCTGTAATCCCAGCACTTGTCAGGCAGAAACAGGAGTTTATAAACTTCCCAGGAGCTGGAGGCCAGTCTGGTCTACAAAGTGAGGTACATGTCAGTTAGGACTACACATTGGGATCACAACTCAAAAAAAGGGGGTGGGGGAGAAATTCTAACATTACAGATCAATCTTAGGGACACTATGCTAAGTGAAATAAATCAGTCACAAAGGTAAATAAACCCTGGCCTGGCGTGGTAGATAAATGCCTAAAACTCTACCAGTCTGAAAGCTGATTCAGGAACATTTCCAATCTCAGGAAAGCCCGGGCTACCTAAAACCATCATAAAAATAAATTAAAGGCCTGGGTGGTGGCACACACCTTTAAGCCCAATACCCAGGAGGTAGAGGAAAACAGATCTCTGTGAGTTCAAGACCAGCCCAGTCTACACAGTGAATTCTAGGACAGCCAGGGATAGGAAAAGAGTCCCTGTATCAAACAACTCCCCAATTTCCCCCCCCAAAAATTAATTAAGTAAAGGCAAACAGTGTATGATTCTATTTAATTATATGATACACTAAAAAAGTTGTAGTGACAGACATGGAGAAATGGCTCAGTGTTTAAGAGCACTGATTGCTCTTCCAGAGGTCCTGAGTTCAATTCCCAGCAACCACATGATAGTTCACAACCATCTGTAAGGGAATCCAAATCCCTCTTCTCATGTGCATGAAAACACAGCACTCACATTAAATAAGTAAATAGATCATTAAAAAAAATTAAAATTATAGAGACAGAAACTAGAACAGTGCTTGCCAGGGACTCTCAGGAGAAATGAGGATTTGTCTGGTAGAATACAGAAGATGAATGTAATAGAGACAGGGGGAAGTGACAGGAATGACACTATGAACATCTTTAATACCGGTGAGCTGGACACTTAAAGCAAAATCTGCATATGTACACCTTACCTTAACAACAACAAAAAAAAAAAAAAAAAAAAAAAATTGAAAAAAAACCAACACAAACCCAAGGGAGATAAAAAAAAAAAAAAACAAACCAAAACAACACAAACAAGGTACAGGAGGGGAGTGGGAAGATTACCCCACAAATTCCCTAATAAGGAAACCTGAAGACAGTGTTGGTTTTTTGTTTGTTTTTAATCTCTTCTTTTGAGACAGGGTTTTCACTCACTACGGAATGCAGGCAGGCTCACCTGAAATCTGAAGAGTCTCCCAAGTGCTAGTATTATAGGTGTGAGCCACATCACCTCCTCAGTTTTGAGTTCTTAAAAGAAAAATTAGGCCTAGACATGTAGTGCAATGATAGAATACTTGCACAGCAGGAGCAAGGCTCTGGGCTTAATGCTCAAGAGAGGAAAATCAGAAATGACAGGAAAAGAAAAGGTTTATTGCTTACAGTCAACGGACAAACATAAAACCAATGGCTGAAGTACCAAGGAAGGATACACGCTTAGCTCTGACAGTATGTAGCTGGATAAACTGTTACCTCAGTGGCTCAGTGGCACAAGAGACTAGTGTACATCTCTAGACACCCTTACATTTAAAAAACTTTACTGCAGAAACAATTCAAGTACTTAGTAACATGAAATACGCAGGAAAAAGGTGATTAAAACAGAAGATGGCTCATCAGTTACAAGTACTGGCTGCTCTTCTAGAGGATCCAGGTTTGATTCTCAGCACCCAGAAGGCAGCTCATAACCATCTGTATCTCCACTTCTAGGTGATCCAAAATCCTCTTGTGGCCCCTGCAGGCACCAGGCACACAGCAGTGCACTAGCATACATGTAAGCCTGTTAGCATACCTATTACAAAACAACTACAAAAGAGGACAGGAAGATGGCATGTCCTCTAGGTGATTAACATGATCTAAAATATGGCAAGGACTTACCTGGGAAAATGAGAGCCTTAGACACTACTGGACAGAATGCGATCTGAGCTCAGTATTGGTTTTGTTTGTTTGTTGGTTTGTTTGTTTGTTTGTTTGTTTGTTTTTCAAGACAGGGTGTGTCTGTGTAGCCATGACTCTGTAGACCAGGCTGGCCTCTAACTCAGAGAGCTTGTCTCTCCTTCCCAAGTGCTGGGATTAAAGGCGTGTGCCACTACCATCTTAAAAACAGATCTGGTCCCCACTGATGACAGCTGACTGGGGGCAGGGGAACTGAGAGTCAGTTTCCTTTATAGGTGTGGCTCCTGGGAAGTCAAGCATGCTCCAGTGGATGGCCCCACAACCCAAGTATAAGGATAGCACAAAGAGAAGTCAATGGTTAGGTTTAAAAAAAAAAAAAAAAGTATTGGGATGGGTTTGGAGATAGATATGGACCAGGAAAGTTAAAAATAGATGTTGGGGGTGAAACTGGTGAAAATAGATTGTATGAAATTCTCAAAGGATCAAAATAAGGTCAAGCTGGTCTTAGCCAAAGATGACCTTGAACTCCTAATTCCCCATGCTCTATCTCCTGAGTGCTAAGATTATAGGCCCAGGCAGTTTATTCAGTTTTGAGATCAAACCTAGGACTTCATGAATGATAGGAGGTACATCACCAACTGACACCTCAGCCCCCATTAGATAAGATGCTTTCTCTCTTCAGCATTGCTTCAAGAGTGAACTGCTAAACCCTGTTTATACCAACTCATTCCCACAAAGTACCCCGGGATAGAGCAGGACAGTTGAGTATTCTGACCCACAGATGAGAAAGTTTCCAGGTGCTAAAATAGAATGTTATCAACATTTAACACTAAATAAAAACAAAACAGTGTATTGTACAAGACTTTTTTTATATTTTCAAAGGACAGTAAGTCTGTATTTGTCCTCAAATATATTATTTATCTCTCAAAGTATTCACACACCAAAAAAAAAAAAAAAAAAATTAATGCCTAACTGGAAGGGTGAAACTATGGGGTTGGGAAGGACACTTTTCCCTCGCATTTGCCTACCCTTTGAATAGAAAGCATATTAATGTCAAACCTATTAGAAGAAGTTAAAACTGCAAAGTGAAAAACACCCTAAGCCAGTTCCTCCCCACTTACCATATTAAATATTTATGCGTAAGATCAAACACTTTAATTTAGGACTAAATGTTAGGCATAAATGTAAGTTCTACAGTAATAAGAGACAAACCTGAAATACGGCACATCGTGCTGTGGCTGACCTTCACCTCCTTCAAGTGATGTGACTCTCTTTACGGAAAGTTGGTCTGAATTGGAAGTGGAAGCTTCCCTTTGATCTAAGCCATGCTCTATGACATGAAAAAAAATGTTCATTAAAGAACAATTTCTAGAATAACAATCCTCACAAGAGATCTTTGAAAGTCCTTCAGTTTTACTGATGTTGAACTTTAAAATTTTGTCATCCTCCCCCAAGCTTTTCTGTCTCCCATCTACATGGCAACTTCCCTGGCCTTGTTCCTTGGGAACAGTGAACCTGCCCAAGAGCTGCCCCCAACAAAGCCTGCTTTTATATCTTAATTTTGCTTGAATTGGCCCATTTAGTCAGCGGAGAATACCTATCCGAGCCCAGAGGTCATAGGCAACTGTCATTCCTCAGGTACTCTCCACTTTCTTGCTGAAAGGGTCTCTTCCCAGGGCCCGAAAGGCCAAGTGTAGTGTCCCTACCTCCCCAGTGCTAAGTCTCCCAGCTCCTGCCCCTCCCACAGCAGGCTCTGTCCTCAGGCTCCTAAACTTAGTGGTTGTCTCCCCAGCTCCTGCTCCTCAGTTTCTAATTCATCCAGGCTCTGGTCACATCACATGAGCCACCTGGTAAAGCTCTGCAAAATCATAAGCCAGAGAAATACCATACCTTCACTACTGTCTGTTAGTGACTCCACAGCAGATCCTGAGCTATTTGATTCCTTCTGTACCAAGCTTTCATTTGCTGTATCTTGAGTTGTACTGCTAGAACAACAGCAAAAAATATACTTCACAAAACAAGGAAGTTCACATATATGCAACTGAAAGAAATAAGATACAGTTTTTCTTTGGTTTTTTTGGTCTTTTTTGTTTTTGCTTTTTGAGGTTTTTGTTTGTTTGTTTGTTTGTTTGTTTGTTTGTTTGTTTTGAGAGTAGGCCTCTTAGGTAATTCACCCAGAGTTGCTTTTATTTAAATTCCTATTCCGGCATGGGGCTGCGGTGTAGGCTATAGAGGCCCAGTATCATGGATGCTGGGAGAAAACACCACTATTTGGGGTTTTTGTTTGTTTTTGACATAGCCTGCTATGAAAATGAGACTGGCCTCAAACTTTCAATCTTCCTCTTCAGCCTTACTAATGCTAGGACTGTAGGCATGTAACAGCCAGCCTAGCTTCTTATCTTTAAAAATACTTATTACAGACCTGGAGAGATGGCTCCGAGGTTAAGAGCACTGCCTGCTCTTCCAGAGGTCCTGAGTTCAATTCCCAGCAACCACATGGTGGCTCACAACCATCTATAATGTGATCTAATGGCCTCTTGTGATGTGTGGGTGTACATGCAGATAGAGCACTCATATTCGTTAAGTAACTGAATGAAAAAGTCTTTAAAAAAAAAAAAACAACTAGGGCTGGAGAGATGGCTCAGAGGTTAAGAGCACTGGCTCTTCTTCCAAAGGTCCTGAGTTCAATTCCCAGCCACCACATGGTGACTCAACATTCTATAATGAGATCTGGTGCCCTCTTCTGTCCTACAGGCATACATACAGGCAGAATACTGTATGTAAATAAATAAATAAATAGATAGATAGATAGATAGATAGATAGATAGATAGATAAATAAATAAATGAACGAACAAACGAATAAATCGTTTGGGGCTGGAGAGATGGGTCAGTGGTTAAGAGCGCTGTCTGCTCTTCCAATAGGACCTGAATTCAATTCCCAGCACCCACATGGCAGCTCACAACTGTCTGTAACACCAATTTCAAGGGATCTGATACCTTCACACTAAATACAAATAAAATAAGAATTTTTAAAACTTAAAAAAAAAAAAGAAAAAAAAACTAAACTAATTCCAGCCAGGTGCTGGCGGCACATGCCTTACATCCCAGCACTTGAGGCAGAGGCAGGAGGATCTCTGTGAGTTCGAAGCCAGTGGTCTACAGAGCAATTTTCAGGACAGCTAGAGCTACACAGAGAAACCTTGTCTCAAACATTAAAAAAAAAAACTTATGCTGGGCAGGAAAATTTTAAACCAAAAATGAGAATAGCATCTTTATTACAGTAGGATTCAAAAATGTTGAAACTTTTAGTGTAAGATTAGAAATCCACAACTGTGGATGCTGCTGACTGTTTTCTATCATGTGCAGCCGTCTCATCTGACAGGTAACTTTGCCTTTTCTTCTGAAGATTCCAACTGACCTTCCTCTTCCTACTTTACAGATGATTTTCTCCTACTATAGGCAGTTTTTTGAGAAGAAAGGCAGGCAGGGTCTATACATACAGCTCCCGGTTTAGGACATCCTGCTCTTACAAAGGACTGAGTCCAGTTCTCAGCACCCCCTTCAGGGTGGCTCAAACCTACCTCTGACTCCAGCTCTAGGGAGGCCTGATGCTTCTGGCCTCCACAGGAACCGGCACAGACACACACAGACATACACAGCTATTCAACTAAAAATCATGTTATTTCCTAACAAAACTAACAGGCAGGCAGGACTGATTTTAAAGATGGCAATATTCCTTTCATAAAAGAAATTACTTCAAGCCAGGTGTGGTGGCACATGCTTATAATCCTAATTTGGGAGGCTAAAACTGCTTAGAACACAAATGGAGTTGCTATCTCAGCTCCACCAAAAGAAAACAAACAAAACTAAGGGGTTGGTGAAATGGCTCCAAGCACTTGCTGCTCTTAAGGAGAAATCTGAGTTCAGTTCCCAGAACCCACATGGCAGCTCACAACCATCTGTAACTCCAGTTCCAGTCACTGCACATATGTGGTGACTTATATACATGAATGCAAAACACCCATGCACATAAAATAAATCTTTACAAAAGTAAAGAAGAAGGCAAATCTTACTTACAGGCTACAATTAAGCCATCTATTAAAAGCAAAAATTGCTGGACAGTGGTGCCTGGTCTACAGAGCAAATTCCAAGACACTGCCTTGAAAAAACAAAACAGGGGTTGGGGGGGCAAAAACCTACACATTTATGGTGAAGACAATTCATAGAAAATTCCAAAACTATCACAGATATTATTGTAGGCTTTTATCAACAATTTTTTTTGTGTGTGATCTATAGTTAGCATACATTACTAACTAAACACAGTGCAGAAAAAAAAAAAAAGCAGAAATGTAAGACAAACATTTGCTACTCCTTTTTAGGAAAGTGCTTATTATTAAGATTATTTGTGTCTGCTTAAAAAATATTATCTTACTCTTTTGGTTTTAAAAGGTTCCAATCACAACTGGGTGTCAAGAAGGCGTTGGCACTTCTAGGACTCATGGGAGCCACTTGATAGATCTTCAGCCCACACGGTGGCTGAAATACCCAATGCTTAGGTGCAAAGGAATCTCTTTCTTTCACTTTTGCAGGAACTGTCTTAGGCAAGCTTTCCATTTCCTGGAGGACTCCATCTGGATCCAGTTGATTTGTTACACTGGTTTGTGAATCCAAACTCTTTTTTTCAGTCTCAAATTTAGAAGAAATGACCTAGGTATAAGCAAACAGAACAGAGCTGGAATTTCTCTCCCAGGAACGTATCCAACCATTGAAAAAGGAAACACAAGGATACAGAAATTGTGGTACATCTACACAATGGAATACTACTCAGCAATTAAAAACAAGGAAATCATGAAATTTGCAGGCAAATGGTGGGATCTAGAAAAGATCACCCTGATTGAGGTATCCCAAAAGCAAAAAGACACACATGGTATATACTCACTTATAAGTGGATATTAGACATATAATAGAGGATAAATCTACTAAAATCTATATACCTAAGGAAGCTAATCAAGAAGGAGGACCCTGGTAAGATGCTCAATCTTCATTCAAAAAGGCAAACAAGATGGACATCACAAGAGGGAGAAAAAAGGAAACAGGACAGAAGCCTATCACAAAGGGCCTCTGAAAGACTCTACCCAGCAGGGTATCAAAACATATGCTGAGATTCATAGCCAAACTTTTTGCACAGTGCAGGGAATCTTATAAAAAAAGGGAGAGCTAGAAAGACTTGGAGGGAACAGGAGCTCCACAAGGAGAGCAACAGAACCAAAAAATCTGGGCACAGGGTTTTTTTCTGAGACTGACACTCTAAACAAGAACCATGCATGGAGATAATTTAGAACCCCTGCACAGATGTAACCCATGGCAGCTCAGTGTCCAAGTGGGTTCCACAGTAATGGGAACAGGAACCGTCTCTGACATGAACTAATGGGTTGGCTCTTTGATCACCTGCACCTGAGGTGGGAGCAGCCTTACCAGGCCACAGAGGAAGACAAAGAAGCCAGTCCTGATGAGACCTGATAGACTAGGGTCAGATGGAAGGGGAGGAGAACCTCTCCTATCATTGGACTGGGAGAGGAGCATAGGAGAAGAAGAGAGGAGGGTGGGATTGGGAGGTGATGGAGGAAGGGGCTACAGCTGGAATACAAAATGAATAAACTATAATTAATAAAAACAAAATAAAAAATTTAAAAATAACAAGAGCAACAACAACAAAACAATTCTGGCAATGTGATGGCTCGCGCTGGTTGGAATTCAACAGGATTCAAATTTTGGCCACACCAAAAATGCCTTTCTTAATAATAAATAAATGCCAACTTAATAAAAAAAAAAGAAAGTGAGCTGAACACAGGCACTCATTGCTGTTTCCAACATGTCCAGCTACCTCAAGACTCCACAGCTAGGACAAACTGTATCCTTGAACTGTGACTGACATTCCCTCTTAATTGCTTTGGTCAGGTATTTTATCAAAGCAAGACAAAAAGTTACCAAGAGAATATCCACATGCATAATTTGAGACAAAAATAATACACTTAAAAATGTATTCCCGAGGGTTCAGGAGCTGGCGCAGTACTTGAGTGTTTATTGATCTTCAGGGAACTAGCGGTTGATTCCCAGCACTCTTGCCAGACAGCTTACTACCAACTCCAACCTCTATCTTTAAAAAAAAAAAAAAAACATATACTAAACCAATGCTGTAGTTCAGAGCCAGTCCTTATTAAAGGAGTCAACTATACCTTGTAGATACTGTAACAAATTAAAATATAATAAAACTAAAATGGAAAAAAACAACTAGAAAATGTTTTTACCAAAATTACATGGATTATCAGAAGGCTTTGAGAATGAGAAATCTAAGATTTATTGAATAATTCCTATTCTAGAGGACAAAACTGTTAAAAAGGAACCTTGGTTTGTGGGGCGGGAACAATGGCGCTGTGGCTAAGAACACTAGCCCTCTCCAAAGAACCTGGAGATTCTCAGCACCCACACGGAAGCTCACAGCCATCTGTGACACTGTCCTCGGGGACCTGACCCCCTTTTCTGTCTCCTCAAGCCTCAGGCACACAGGTGGTGCAAAGTCATTAATGCAAGCAAAACACCCACACATAAAATAGTTAAAAATAAAGAAAACTTTAAAATAACCTTAGGTTGTAAATAATCTTGTCATAGGATTATTTACAAGGACATTTCTCCATGGGACACAATGAGATCAACCAACAGGATTTAAAGCACATTTTTCCAAGTCAATTTACTTGTTACTTGATATTTCGACATTTAAAAAAGTTGCCTCAGCACTCAGGGAGGCAGAGGCAGGCAGATCACTGTGAGTTTGAGACCAGCCTGATCTACAAAGTGAGCCCAGGACAGCCAAGGCTAGAGAAAAACACTGCCTCAAAAAGCAGGAAAAAAAAAAAAAAGAAAAAGCACAGGACCTTCCAAAGGTCCTGAGTTCAATTCCCAGCAACCACATGGTGGCACACAACCACCTCTAATAAGATCTGGTGCCTTCTGGCGTGCAGCTATGCACGCTGATGGAACATGGTATGTATATCTTTTTAAAAGTTAAAAAAAAAAAATCTCAAAGGCCAATGTGTCAGTCAAAGTAAAAATGAATAACATTTACAGGAATAATACCTTTAAACAGGGATACTTTACTGTGTGTGTTTATGGGCGTGCATACCATGGAATGGGTGGAGATTAAAACACAACTTCTAGGTGCCAGTTCTCTTCTTCCTCCTCATGAGACCCAGGAATCAAGCTCCAGTCATCATGTTTGATGGCAAGTGCCTTTACCCACTGAGCCATCTCACTGGCCCCACAAGATAATCTTAATGCCACACCCTTTAAGGGCCAGTGGACTTAAAAAGATTCACTCTCCATTTCCTTCCTGGGATTTATATTTGATATGCAATAAGGCTTTAGACAGGTTTCTTGCTCTTCAGCATGAGGGTTTTGTTTTTTTTTTCCTTTTTCTTAAAAGTTTAAGGTTACATTGTAGACCAAGAAACTAGAACTCAAAATAGTTCCTTTTTAATTTATTTAATTTATTTTATTTATTTGTTTGTTTGTTGATTTTAAGTGTGGAGGTCAGAGGACAACCTGCAGGAGTGGGTTTTGTCATTCCATCCATGTGGGTTCTGGGGATTAAGTTGAGATCATCAGGCCTGGCAGCAAGCACCTTCACCTGCAGAGCTGTCTTGCAGGCCCAGGTCCTCGTTTTGTTTTGTTTTTTTGAGGATCTCATTGCTAAATGCTGTCAGAAACACTTGCTTACTGAATTAACAACTCTGTATAAGAAATTCCACTTCAGAGATGGAAAAATAAAGTCAAATTACATGGTGTGCCCCAAACGCTCAGTCAATTAGAAGCACAGGAAATACCCTGGAATAGCTGAATACAAGCATCTATCCATCAAATGGTTCTTGCAAAACAGTTTCTCCGCTGTGCTGTTCACTCCATTTTCTCTGCTAATCAGATTGCACTTTCTTTACTCACAATTCTGAGACTAAAATACCTAGCCACCAGCATCAATAACTTGTGTGCTGCTTCCTTAGAGATCAAGGATTCAGCATGTATGTGGGTTAGTTCTCTCACGTGGTCTCATGGTTCATTTCAGATTTATGAAAGGAGCAGTAGAGTGTCAAAGCATTGAGAAATGAACAGAAGCCTGTACTCTACCTTGTCAGGCTTGGCTTCTTCCTTTTTTGCAGGTCTCCCTCTACTTGGTCCCATTCTTTCTGATACCGTCTCTAAAAACAGAAAGTGAAGTAGCATATCCATTTTAAAATAGACAAGCAATGCTACATTAAAGTTGTAGAGGTGACCTTCATGTTGTATTAAGTTGCATCTCTGAATATTCCACTGTTAATTGCTGAACCTGCAGTGAGCTAAATGGTAACAGATTCTGGTATTGTCATTGCTATTGAGGAATCTCCCGTCTCAATGCTGCGTAAAAATTGCTCCCCAGTTATCTCTTTATCTCTAATTAATAAAGAACCTATAACTGGGCAGAGGAGACAGTAAGTGGAACTTCTGTTCCCAGTCTGGAGGTGCCAGGTAGGCAGGTAGACAAGTAGGTAGGTAGGTAGGTAGGTAGGTAGGTAGATATAGAGACAGATAATAGAGAGAAATAGACAGAGACAGATGATACGGATGGATGGATGGATGGATGGATGGATGGATGGATGGATGGATGGACGGACGGACAGCTACATAGAGAAGGAGGTTGTCCATCAAGAATGATGGACCATGAGGACAAAGATGGAGCAGGAGCGGCCAGGTGAGAAAGATGGCAAGCAGCATGGGGCACAGGCTGGGAAGTAGCCAGACAGTACAGATGGGTTAGAATAGATCAGTATCTGCACAGCTGCAGTGCACTAAAGCTTATTAATAATAAGACTTAATACATTTATTAATAAATGTAGTAGGTCTCCATCTCATTATTTGGGAACTACAGCAGCATAGGAAAAAAACATTAATTTTAACATACTGTACTAGATAATTTGGTAAAGTATGGAAGAAGACCAACTTAGGAATGTGCATCTTCAACTTTTATGATTACAAGTCACTCTACTAAGGGACAAAAAAAAAAGAAATTTCCTGTCAAATACAAATCATCTTTTCAAAATGAAGGTGTTTCTCTTTTTCCGATTACTAAACACATACTCATTATTAAAAAAAGAAAACAGAACCAACACCTCTTACTGCCAACACTAAACCAACCGACCAAAACAAACATATGCACATGCCTGAACTCCAGCACCTTCCTGAAGTTTGAGGCAACAGGACCAAGAATGCAGGCTGGCCCCGGCTACATGGTGAGACCTGGTCTCAAAACAATCAGGGATGGAGAGACAGCTAAGAGATAGGAGCACTGACTGCTCTTCCATAAGGTAAGTCCCAGCACTCATGCGGAGGTTTACAACCATCTGTAACTTCAGTTCCAGAAGATCAAATGTCCTCCTCTAGCCTCTGTGAGACCAGTCACACATGTGGTACATGAAGGTAAAACCCATACACATGCCAGGTGGTTGCACATGCCTTGAGTCCCAGCACGTGGGGAGGCAGAGGCAGGCGAATCTCTATGAGTTTGAGGCCAGCCTGGTCTATAAAGCAACTCCAGGACAGTCAGCGCTACAAAATACCAAAACCAAAAACAAGAAAAACCCACATACATAAAACAGACTAAATCTTGGAAAAAAAAAAAAAAAAAAGGAAGAAAAAACCAACAAAAAATAGTCTGGAACAGCAGTTCAGCTGGCACTGTGCTTGCTGAGTGCCAGGGCTGGTCTGGAACAGCTATATGTAACATTATCTGCAGCCAGCGCTAGGGAAGCAGACAGCTGGGTCCCTGGAGCTTGATGACTCTAGCTGCACTGTCAAGCTCCTGGCAGACTATAGCTCAAAAGGCAAGGGTCAGATTAACTGAGAAAGATACCCAACATTGACCTATGGCCTATACACAAATACTAACCTCACCCATGGTCCCATTAACAATTTGATATTTCAGCATGTGTTTCCAGTATTTTTTTAATTATTATTATCATGTTCTATTTCAGGGTCACGTTCCTTTTGTCTTTCTTGATGTTTATAAAGTGTGTTACTGTGGACTCTTCTTACCGTGAGCAGCTCTTGTGACTGGCCTTCGTATAGTAGACGAGACCGTCCGGGCAACCTGCTTTGAACTCTGAATAGCAGCTGATCCGGTCACTGTCCCTGACTTGGACACCAGAGGCTGTGCTGCTGGGAATAATAATCCAATCAGATGCTTTTCGTCACTCCTAATTATTCGCGTGGCAGCACCACGTTCATCATCACTGCTCATAGTCCTACCTTTTTTCTCTTTGTCCACTATTTTCTTCTCAGAAGGTTGTCTTTGGCCATATCGGGTTGCTTGAGGAACACTCTTGCTGTCTACCTGCGAAGAAAGTAGGAACTTTGTTAATCTTTAGAAGGTAAAATGATCAACAAAGAGTCAGCAGGTCAAGAGCAGCCTCAGCCAATAGGGAAGAGTCTGGCCACATGGGACCCTGTCTCAAAAATAAAGCCTTTAAATCCAGCACTCAGGAAACAGAGGCAGGCAGATTTCTCTGAATTCCAGTCTGATCTCCAAAGTGAGACCTGCCTCAAAAAAAAAATTCTTTCTATGCTCATTTGAGAATTCTGAAATACTAATCACAACATTAACTGAGGCTTTTTTGCCCTGAGATAAGGTCTGGTTGTGTTGCTGTGTTGCCTAGGCTGGCCTCAAAGTTGTGTGCTTAAGCTACCCCCTGCCTCAGGCTCACAAGAAGCTGTGAAAAGTGAGTGCCGTGGGCACCACGGTCTAGTTATTTGCCCAGTGGTACAGAGCACGCCAAACACGCACAGATCCCTGGGCGCTGTGATCCCCAACACTGCTGGAAAATAAAATCAACAGCAAAAATCTCCCAATTTTATATTTCTCCTAGGGTGAAAGGTTTCCCCCCCACTCCCAGGGTTCCCTCACTTCCTTTAAGCCTACACCCCGACATGTAGGAATCTCAGTAGTTTCCATGACTGCTCCAACCAAAATGTTATTCAACGCTTGCTCTTACTGCCATCTCCCATCCGACATAAAATATATAATATATACACTTACATATAATACACACACACACACACACACACACACACACACACACACACACACACTTAATTTCTAGGCCTACACTATGATCCATAAAGCCTCAGAATTTTTTTCAGTGCTGTATGTATCCCAGGGGCTAGAGAAGTCACAGGAACATGGCAGTGACTCCAATCTGTTAAAAACATAATAAAACTTAGCTTCCTTACTTGACAAAGTGTCACTCCATTTCCCACCCAACATGCTTCATCCTCTCCCCAAACCTTGATTTGTTGCTGTATTTTGAGCATCTAACCCCTACTCTGCGCTTTTCATTGTTCTGCATTTCATGCAGTTAGCTGGAAAGCATAGTCGCAGCAGAGGAAACAGCCACATAATGATGAAGTATGGGACAGACCAAATAAGAAGTGTTTATATTTTGAGTGAAAACTTCCTTGACATTTAGCAAAAAACTACTCTAAATCATCATTAATTTTTATACCTTCAATTCAGATAAAGCATTGTTTATATCTGGGCTTAGGTTTAAAATGGAATTTTAGCTGGGCATGGTAGAACTGCCTTTAATGCCAGCACTCAGGGAGGCAGAGGCAGGCAGATCTCTGTGAATTCCAGGCCAGCCTTGTCTACAAAGTGAGTCCAGAACAGCCAAGGAGACACAGAGAAACCCTGTCTTGAAAAACCAAAAAAAAAAAAGAAATTATAAACTTTGAAGGGGAAAAGGCACAATATATTATTCTAATAGCAATTATCTATATACATTGATACCTTAGTCTGTTCCATATGCACTTTGGCCTTTGATCTCGTTATCCTCCCACTGTACAGAAAAGCCTTTAAAAACAGCCAAAAGAAGATCAATTAAAAAACAAACAAATAAAAACAAAACATACTGGCAAAATTTATCCCATGCATCAGTTTAAAATTTAAATTTTATCCTCAAAAACTTATGGCATAAAGATACTTGCTAAGTTAAGTATCGATTTTTTTTTTTTTTTCCAAAGTTAAAGGAATTGTTTGTCTATTTCAGGTTAAAATCATAAATGGACCTTTTCTGGTTCAGCTTTCATGCTCCTCTGGTCTGCAATGAGAAAGCCAGGCACAGCAGGTCTATAGAGACCAACTTTAAATACTCCACGTTTAGCTTTCTCTCGTTGCTCTTTTAATTTTTGAAGCTGCTTTTCTTCTTTGTACTTTTGAAGAAGCTGTTTCCGTTGGTCACTCAGAACCATATTCGCTGACCCTAAGGGAAGGAGGGGATCAAACAACAGTCCATAAAACATTACAGACAAAATATCACATCACATTTCTAAAGGCACATTTTGTCTAACTTTATCTGCTAAGAAACGTTTTTGGTTTTTTTTTTTTGTTTGTTTGTTTTGTTTTTTTTTTTGTATGTGCATTAGTGTGAAGGTGTCAGATCCCTTGGAATTGGGGTTACAGACAGTTGTGAGCTGCCATGTGGGTGCTGGGAATTGAACCCAAGTCCTTTGGAAGAGCATACAGTGCTCTTAACCACTGAGCCATCTCTCCAGCCCCTAAGAAATGTTTTTAATCCTCAGCATTCTAACAGTTATTTCAGGTTCTAATCATTTTAAAATTATATTCATTGTGTATGACTTCATTTGCTCAACCTTTAAAAAAATAATGGTATACTGATTACTTTAGGCTAAATTACTCAAAGAATTTCAGAAAGTACCATCTGGCCTGCCTTTGCCTACAGGCAACAGCCTGGAAATTTCTTTTAACATATGGCTACAATCCATCACTTGAGAGGCTTAAGCAAGAGAAACGGCAGGTTCTTGGCCAGCGTAGGCCAGACAGAACTATCTTTTGAGACCTGGTCTCCAAAAGCAAAAGGTTCTTTTGGGAGTCCGGAGTATAGTTGAGTGATAAAGCACTGCTTAGGTGCCTAGTATGACTGAAGCCCTGAGGCCAATCCCTAACAGCCTACAAACAAAACAATAACAAAATAACCATTCTTTGGGAGGGATGTTACTCACACACAAAGCCCAAGATGACAGCCTTCCTTACTGGGGCCGCAAGGATCTGAACCAACCAACTCTCTCACTAGCTTTACCTCCCGGGCCCAAGTGTATCTCTTGGTGACAATCTGCAGACTTCCTACCTTGCTCTGTCACTCCTTCACAAGCTTACTGAACTTTGGTCTAAGAAGCATTACACCTTGGTCATGCCTTTGGATTTCATTCTCTTTATGAAGACAACACCCCCACCACATAAATTTTATACGCTTTTCTGTGAACTGGCTCTTGCCTTAATTAGGTTCACAGGTCTAGCCCAAGCACATATAAGTGGGTTCTTGCTTTGCTTACTTCAAGTTGTTCACTTATTCCTAATGTACATGGTCTCCTGTTGGATAGAAATTACATCTAAGGGTCTTATTAGACTGAAGTTCAAGCTTTAAAGCAAAACTATGTCTTAGATGATACATCAATTCTCTTTCGAGTCTATTTCCCCCCTCCCGCACCTTTTGAGACAGCATCTTACTTATATAGCCCTGGCTGGCTTTAAGCATGCCTCTGCCTCCTGAGTACGGGGATCAAAGGCACAAGCCACCACATCAGGCCACACGATTACTCTTTTTAATCACCTCTCCTTAAATGCCTAATAGGGATCATAGCTTCAACATGTCTTGCAGCAGGTTGTGCTTACATACACATGTAAGGATATATATATAACAATAATAAAAGAAAAAGACTATCCATTTGAGAGGGAGCATAGGAGGGTTTAGAGGATGATACCGAAAAGAACTGCAGGGAGGAAAGAGAGTGGGGAAGTAAAGCAATTCTATTTTAATTTAAAATGTATTTTTAAAAAATAAAAATTTTAAATGTCCAAAATTGAACTCTTCGTTTTTAAAATACCCTTCCTTAAAAACTGTTGTCTTCTAAAACAGTCACTGAATATTTTAGTTGTGCTCAGACAAAAAAGAAAAACAAACAAACAAAAAACCAAAACAGTCTTTCTTTCAAAACTCTTTGATTCTAGGACTTTTTCCTTTCCTGCCAACTCCTTAGCTAAGTTGCTATTTTCTCTCTCCAAACAGACTACCAGGCCTGTTTTCTGTCTTCTTCAAACGTGCACTAGTCACCTCAGGACAGAAGAGAGAAAAACCTGCGACTGCTGCTTTGTCCAGTTCCTGCCCTCGTGTTTCTTCAGAATCACAAGAACGATAAATCTGAAAAAAAGGCTGGATTCTGTGGTACAGACTATGATCTTTCAGTGCCAACGCCATCCTTCACAAAACCAGGTTCCAATGCACCAAGTGCTCATGCCAGGAAGACAGATTGCAAACCTAACAACACAAGTTTGATCTCTGGAACCAACAGACAATGGTGGAAGGAGAGATAAACTGCCCAAAGGTGTCCCCTGACCTCCACACACTCACAGGAGAAAGTGTGCCCCACTACCACCCCACGCCCAGAGTCCCATTCCCACTTCCCCCTGCTTTGTGTTACTGCTGTTTGGTTTCTGATACTTGCTGTGTAAACAGAACAACACAGGACTCCAGTGACTCCTGGCAAAGGTGAGTCACACCTCAGCTCTCTTCCTCTGTCCCTGCAACAACTCTTGCCTTCTACGACACTATTTTCACTGTTTTTATCTTTGTTTTTGACATCTTCTTTTCTGTGGCACACACCTTTAATCCCAGCACCCACGAGGCAGAGAGGTGGATCTCTTCGAGTTCAAGGCCAGCCTGGTCTACAGACTGAGTCCAGGACAGCCAGGGCTGCACAGAGAAAGTATTTACAATTATTAAAAAAAAAAAAAAAAAGAGAGAGAGAGAGAGAGAGAGAGAAAGAAAAAAGCTTTACTTACTTGTTTTGGTGCAGGCCTTTTCTGGAGCGAGGTCTTGGGATGTCTCAAGTATATTACCAAGATTTTTACCCTCCAGTGGAATGTTGACGTCTTTCAAGCCAAAGCGTCTATTTCGCTCATGTATCTTGTATCTGTTTTCCTGCTGAGATAGTGACTTTCTGTGAGCAATCTCAGTTCTGATCATTTCAATGCTTACATCTTTCCGAAGTCGGCTGGCAAAACGCGATACAGGCATCCTGTCAAAGAAGAGAAATAGACATCAGCTTAAATGGATTTTCATTTTATTATTTAAAAAAATCAAAATCTCAGGTCAGGCTGTGGCAGCTCACCTCTAGAATACCAATACTTAAGAGACTCATTCATGAATTTGAGGACAGTCTGGGGTAGAGAGTAATAATCTCTCTCAAAGACCAAAATAAGTAAATAAAAACAATACAGATTTCAGTCCATCTCATACTATTTTGCACTCCTTTGAAACAAAAATATTAAAACTCACAACGGAATAAACTGAGTAAATATGAAAGTAGAAAAGTTATCAAAGATGAGAGATACCATAGCCTGTTTTGGGGGTTCTGAGTAGGAAGCTGCTCAACAGATCAAAATGAAGCAGAGAAAAACTATAAGCTAGGCTATAGACAAGAGGTACCACAGAAGGTGAAGACAGAGAAAGTAAAGAGGTAACGTTACAGAATGACTTCTTTAATCTTCCCCTGAGGATGAATAAAAGAACCTCTGCTTTTCTTCTCAATTCAAAAGCAAAACTGGTCTGGGGCGATGGCTCTCAGTACATGGAGGACCCCTTAGAGCCATAAGGACCTGACCATCTCTAACACTCATGTAAAGGCTGGGCACAGCACTCAGCAATCCAGTGCTGACCAGGACAGAGATGGGCACTTGGTTCCCTGGGGCTCTTCCGCCAGCAAGTCTACCACAACCAATGAGCTCCAGCTTTAATGTGAACCGTCTCAAGAAAATAAATGAGAGGACGATGACTGCCATTGACCCCTGGCCTCCACATGCATGCCAGCACGAACACACACCTGCACAAAACATACATCTAACGTACAACTCGCAATCAACCTTAGCAATATCAATTGGGAGGCTGACACAGACGGCTCAATGGAGTTTAAAGCCAGACTGGACTACAGAGTGAAATATGGTTTGAAACCCACCTACACCCTTCATTCCAGTTACACCCCACTGTGATGAATACACTCTTGTGATTGTAGCACCTGGCTAAAGTCAGCCTGACAAATACAGTGAGACCAAAAATCACAAAACCAAGACAAGAGGACTGGCTCACAGCCAGCCTCAGCTCCAAAGGGTATTGAGGCTGGGAGGGAGCTACACTAAGCCTTATTCTAATCCTCTCCCCACCAAAAAAAAAGAAAAATGAAAGAAAACAAGGCAAACACAAGATAGCTACTACAGAAAGAGTTAAAGAAAAACTCAGTAATACGGATAACCTCACCGGTTTGCCCCATTAATTTTGTCCACCTTAGAAACCATCCTCTGCAACCGCCTTTTCTTTGTCAACCGCCTTTTCTTTGTATGATCTTTGATAAGGTATTCAAGCAAAACACACGAGGACAATACGGACTGCCGTATGTTCCCAAAAATATTTCTATCCTAGTTTGCTTCCTGTTGTTATGATTAAACGCGACCAAAGCCTGCTTGGGAGAGGAAGAGGTTTATGTGGCACTCAGTCCATCACCGAGGGAAGAGAGCAGGAACCCTGACGTGAGAACCGGAGACCGTAGAGGAACGCTACTTACAAGCTGGCTGATTGACCCCATCTGGGCAAGGAGCTAATAGCCACAACGTTCTATGATTAGCGTGAAGATCAAAAGTACCTCTCGCGTCAGTTCCCTTGCCAGCGCTCTCGCCTTGCTACCCGGTATTTTAAAACACCGCGAGCTTTAGCTTTTCTTTAAGACTTTCAGTTTAATACTTACAGGTGGTAACACATGACAGCGTCTTCGGGAAAGGCAGAATCCACTGCCACCTCTGGGCTCTCGTGAGAGGTCATTAGCCTAGGCGTCGGGTAGGTTCTCGTCTCTAATACTTTGTTAACGCTTTACGACAATCTACTACACTTTTCGTGCCACTTTTTTTCCCCAGGACTTCTGTCTATTGACGTGTACCTTCACACTGGTGTCAGGAAGAGCGTGTGGGCCCTCTTGGCGCTGGAGCTCCAAGAAGTTGTGCGCTGCCCGGTAGTTCTGGGCTACCTTGGGGCCTCTGCAAGAACAACTGCTGAGCCACCCCTCCCAGACCGTTTTAAAAGGCTTTGAGACGGGGCCTCCCGTAGCCCCCGACATCCAGGTCCTTGACCTCCCGAGCCCGCTTACCTGAAGCAGCTTCCGGACCGGTCCCGACAATCCCGCAGCAGAGCAACCCCCGCAGGTCCGCAGAGGCAGCGGGCGGCCCGGGCTGAATTGAAACTTCCCGCTGCCGGCCGCCGATTGGAGGGGCCTTTGCCAACACTCCCGGAAGCTCCCGCCCCTTCCCCTCCGACGAGGCTTGCGATAGGTCGGCTCTGTGCGACGTTTGAATTGTTTGGAAGACGGAGGGTTGGGGCGGGAGGGCGGTGAGGAGGCAGTAAACGGCTGGGCGGGGAGGCGAGGCACCAGCCCGGTGGAGCTGCCGGGAGGAGCTTCGTCGCCGCCTCTCCAAGCGGGTCATTCCCTTTTCATCTTAAAAGATGTTTTTCGTTTATTTATTTGTTTGCTTGTTTTGTCGTTCTGCCTTTCCTGGAACTCACTATGTAAACGAGGCTTGACCTCGTTCTCAGAGATCCTCCTGCCTGTCTCCGAGAGATGGGATGTAAGGTGTGAACAACCACGTTCAAAAAAGAAAATGGTTTTAGTAAGGTTAAGTGAATCCATTTATTACATTTCTGTTTCCAACCGACGGTAAAATTAATGGCTGCCTTAGAGGTCAACTGAGAAACACAACACACACACTTAAGCCGGGTCTTGCTCATGAGATACCAAGAAAACAAACAAAAAATCTTGGGCTAGTGCAGCTGTGCGGACCTTGTGTTCACAGATTAAAGCGTATCCTGAAGGCACTGGAAAGATAAGTTAGGAAAGCATTTGTAAGAGCTTGGCTTTTGCTTTTCCCTGCCAACCTCTTGGTACAGAGTATGCCTGCGACTCTAGCATCAAAGAGACCTCTAGGACACACAAAAGAAAAAAAAAAAATGAAAGTAGGTTATTGACGTAGTATTTATGGTTGTGTTGGACTTGGGGGGGGGGGGCAATTTCACCGCTGCCTTTCCCAAAGTCGGGTTTTCAGAGGATAACCCATATTGGCTTTTAAGGTCCCTTTTAAGGGGAAGGTTGATAGCATTGCTGTGGAGATAATTGGCTGTTGGCACCTACCTGGTCAGAAGAGTGGTGCCTCAGGGCTCAAGGCTGCCTGTGGGCTGGGTAAGTGCAAGACTACCTCACGCTGACCCGGGAGTCATCACAGGAGCTCAGGAGTTCAGCAAGGTTAAGGCGTGGGGATGCATCATGAGGGCACAAGTTCAGGTAGGTTGAAAACATGGTTTGCAGGATACATTAGGCTTAGGACACAGAAACTTACCCTTGTAAGGTGCGGAGAGTCAATCATAATGTATGGCAATGTGGCTCCTTAGCAACAACACAGCTCCTGTTTGGTTTCAGAGTTATTTTAAAATGCTGAAACTAGGGGCCGGAGAGTTTAGTTGCCTTGGCAGTTGAGAGCACTTTCTTGCTCTTGCAAGAGGGCCCAGGTTCAATTCCCAGCACCCACATGGTGGCTCACAACCATCTGTCACTCCAGTTCCAGAAGGTCCATCACTTTCTCTGACACATGGTACACATACATATCCAGGCAAAACACTCATATGCAGAAAACAAAAGAAACCGTAAAGAGTTTTAAAATTAGTTAAAAAAATTTTTTTAATTAAATTTTAATTTAATTAAATTAAATTAATTTAATTTAATTAAATTAATTAATCAGACAGGCTATGGCGGTACATGATTTTAATCCTGGCAGTCTAGCGCCTGTCAGTTCCAGGACAATCTATCTCAATCAAAACAAAATTGAACCAGGTATGGTGGCACACACCCGTAGTCCCAGCACTCTGGGAGGCAGAGGCAGGCAGATCTCTGTGAGTTCAAAGCCAGCTTGGTCTACAAAGCCAGTCCAGGACAGCCAAGGCTACACAGAGAAACCCTGTCTCAAAACAAACAACAACAACAACTTAGGAACATAAGTGAAACCATTTTGTGTAACTTAAGATCCACTTTGTGTGACTTAGAATATAATGCCTATAAGATAGGAGCTTACCACCAGGAAGCTCTGATAAGAGCTGGGCCTCAGAACCAAACTCTGATGTGTCAGTAGACCCAGCCACATGGCAGCTCAGGTAGGAGCCAAACCTGAGGCAGGCCTCTATATGCTAATGACCTACCCCCCAGGTGGCATTGATGTTAGTAAACCACCACCAAACTATGAACCCTGAAAGCACAAAGCTACCACTCAATGGGATGATATAAAAACTGCAACTTTAAAGATGGTCTCTGGGCTCTCACAGAAGCACTCCCCAGACATGGCTTCTATAGACTCAGCATTGATACCCATGGACCAGAGGACTTGAGATCGGCCAGTGTGTGACCACTGAACTGCCACCCCTGGCATGGTCCCTGGGTTCACACTTGCCTGCCTGTCAATGCTCGCCTCTGGCCTGTGCTCTCACTGACCTCCATTAGTGCCTTCCTCCCAGCCTGCCAACACAAAGACTTCACGGCTGATAGGGCTAGAGCCAACAAAGCTCCCAAAGGATCCTCACGAAGAAGATTCCCCAGCAGAAGCCTGCAGCATTTCCTGCCCAGGTTCTCTGAGTAGTGGGCTATCTGTTTAACTTTTATAATAGCAAGGAATTACAGGGAATGTTTGCATGACTAAAATAAGCATATTTATGTGAGGGATTCTAATCCAGCAACACGGCTGCTCTGGCAAGGGATCACATCCAAAGACCCTTTAGGTCTATGTGATTAGACTGAAATACAGACTAGCTTTTAATCCTTGGAGATACAGGCATGAAGATCTTTGAGTAAGACGTAATAGAACTAGAGTTTCCAGAGCCAGCAAGCAGCAGAACTTAGCAGCTTCGGCCATATGACTCTGCTTCAGAGTCAAGAATAGAAGAGGTTACTGGGACAATTGATGCTGGTTAGCTGGAGTGAAGAAATTAGCAGTGAGGGATTGGTGTATGAAGATGGGACTGGGAAGAGAAGAGGGAGTGGGTTATGATCAGGCTGTAAAAATGATTAAATAAACAAAATAATGAAAAATAGGAAAGAAATTACCAGTGATTAAGAAGAGAGCAGCATCATTGAAATGAAATTTTCTGGGAGGTGTTTTCTGAGAGGACAAAGAAGCTGTGTTTCACAGACAGACCTCGTGCTGGCAGCTGGACTTGGTAATGTGCCAGAGTCACCCATGTGGACTAGCTTTGAAGGCATGAAGGGGTCATAGAGAGTAGCTGAGCTTGGCACTGTCAGAGCCTGAGAGAGAAGCCAGTTTGAATCAGTCAGCTGGGCAAGGCATCTGAGCCAGAACTGCTGAGTTGAACCAGCCAGCCAAAATTCAGAAAGAGCTAGAAAGGTTGAGCTTATTCAGCAGTAAGCCTCAGACACAACAATTAGATCTGGCAAATACAATTTACATTTTTGAAAGACAAATCTTGTGTGAACATCCTTATTGTCAGGTGTCTCACAGCCTACAGGCCATACTCTCTGCAAAAACAAAACAGATATTGTTTTTAAAATATTTTTAAAACCCAGCCAGCTGGGTATGGTGGCACACAACTGTAATCCCAGCACTATAGGAGGCAGAGGCAGGTGGATCTCTGTGAATTCAAGGCTATCCTGGTCTACAAAGTCCAGGACATCCAAAGCTACACAGAAAAACCCTGTCTTGAAAAAAGAAAAAAATTCCTGAGACCAGGAGCTGGGTGATGGTGGCGCATGCCTTTAATCCCAGCATTTTGGAGCCAAAGGCTCTCTGAGTTCAAAGCCAGCCTAGTCTACAGAGAGAGTTCCAAGAAGAAACCCTGTCTCTAAAAACAAACAAAAAATGCTGCGACCAGGAGCTAAAGAGATGGTTCAGTAATTAGGGAGCACTTACTGCTATTGCACAGGAATGGAGTTCAGCCAGTCAGGCAGCCTGTGTAACACCAGCACCATCTTCTGGCCACCATAGGAACCCACACACATGTGCACATATCTGCACATAGACACATACATTAATATTTAAAAAGAAAATAAAAGCTTCAAATGAATAGTGGTCTAACCTCCTCTTGGGTAGCTGTTAGTTATTGATAATTATAGAAAAGGGAGACTCATGGTCTTCCTTTGGTATCCACTGCTGAGTGCACCAAGGATGACCAAGGAGGGGAAGGGTCACAAAGCAAAATGGAAAGGCACAAACATTTAAAAGAGATTTGTAGAGATCTGACAGACTAGGATCAGAAGGAAGGAGAGGAGGACCTCCCCTATCAGCAGACTTGGGGAGGGGCATGCGTGGAGAAGGGGAAGGGAAAGTGGGATTAAGAAGGGAGGAGAGAGGGGTTTATGGGGGGATACAAATGAATAAAGTGTAATTAATAAAAGTTTTAAAAAAGATTTGTAGGGAAAGGATCAAGGAAGAACATGCATTCGTTAAAATCTTTAGCTATTGTGTCTTGATAATGACATACAGGGGAGTGTCTTAGACACTGTTCTTTTGCTGTAAAGAAACACCATGACCAAGGCAACTCTTTTTTATGTTTTTAATTGTTGTTTGCTTACAGTTTCAGAGCTTAGTCCATTACCATCATTCAGGGAGCACGGTGGCCAACATGGTGCTGGAGCAGTAGCTGAAAACGTATACATCCTGATCAGCTGATCAGCAGGCAGAAAGAGAGCCCTGCCTTGTCAAGGGCCTTTGAAACCTTAAAGCCCACCTCCAAGGACACACTTCTTCTAACAAGGCCGCACCTCCTACTGCATCTAATCCTCTCCAACAGTTCAAGTCCTGGGTAACTAAGCATTTTAACATATGAGGGCATTCCCATTCAAATCTCTGCAGCTAGGTTGGTGGCTAATGCTTGTCATCTCAGCATTCGGGAGACAGAGGCAAGGGAATCACTAGTTCAAGACCAGCCTGAGCCATATAAATGAGAAACTGTCTCTTAAAAAAAGTACAAAGAAAAATATTAATTGAAAACTGTCTCACTTAAGTTTCTATTGCTGTGATAAAACACTGGGCAAAAGCAGCGTGGGAAGAAGATGATTCACCTGGCCTGCATCTTCCGGGTCAGAGTCCTTTGAGGGAAGCTGGGCAGGAACCTAGAGGAAGGAACTGAAGCAAACGCCATGGAGGAACCCTGCTCACTACTGGCTTGCTCCTCCTGGCTCCCTTAGTTTGCTTTCTTAAACACCCCAGGACCACCTGCCCAG